AGCAAATGAAAGAAATTGAAGATAGCCACGATATCCAAGTTGCCTCGCTCCAACAGCAAATTGGAAACCTCTCCGGTGAGGTTGATCAGTGCCGCGAGGAGATGGGCTGGTGGCGCGACCGATGCCACGCCTTAGAGAAGGAAGTATCGATTGAGCGCAGTGCAAAGGAAGCCCTTGTTAAGGAATTCCGGTCATCTCTTGCTGGCCCTAACGTTAGCAAGCCCGCGCCCATTCCGGATTCTGTGCCCTTGCCTCCTCGCAAGACCAGAAGCTCCCGGATGGAGGATGTTCAACCTACTAGTACCGAACGTAACAAGGAAGATGGACAGATGAATGTACCTCTGGGGTGCAACAACTGCTCCAACGCTCACTGCCAATGCATTGAAGATGCATTCGGCATGCCAATGGATACCCACGAGTCATCTCGTTCTAGACACTCACCTCATGGCGTGGGTAGCCCGGAACGTGACCACAGGGATCCCCACATCAAGCCCGATCCGGAAGAGATGGAAATCGACTTCACCGCTCAATTCTCTAGCGTTCCAACCCAATCTCACGACCCCGAAGTCTCCTCGCCCCCCGTTGATCCCTGCGGGTTCTGCCAGGATGGCACTCCCTGTATCTGCGCCGAGATGGCCGCACAGGAGCAGCAGCGTGTACGCAGCATCAACACATTCGAGACCAACCGTCTCGCACCAATCCAATCCATCTCCCAATTCACCCCGCCCCCATCCGAGGGAGACGTCCGCTCAGAAGTGACCCTCCCACCCATCAGCGAAGCAACCAACCCCTGTGCCAATGGGCCAGGCACTTGCGCACAGTGTCAAGCCGACCCCCGAAGCACTCTTTTTTGCAAGACGTTGGCAGCCTCCCGGTCAGCGAGCGGAACTCCATCGGGAGGAGGCTGCTGCGGAGGTGGAGGAAAGGACGGCGGATGTTGCATGTCAAGAAATGCCCCCGCCGCCACGCCCAAGCCGCGTAACAACGCCACCATGCCTTCGCAACCTCCCGCACCCAAGCCCGCTCCGCCCACAGAGCTAACTCTGAGCTGTGCCGATACCTTCACCACCCTGTCTCGTCACCCGAACTTCAACCGTGCCAGCGACGAGATCTCGACCTGGCTGCCGAAGCTGCACACCCTCCCCGACCCCCGTGACATCGCTCCTACAGACAGCCGCGGTGCTCTGGAAGTCGAGGCTGCGAGCGTCATGGGCGTGCTGCGATACTTCGACCGTCGCTTTGCTGAAAAATAAACAATCCTCATGGATCTCATGCGTCCGGGTTCCCTTCCCCCCTTTGCTTGCGTTCTTCCCGCACTTTTGATACCCAATCCCCCCTCTCCCGGGCGCTTCATGTACCATCATACGGACTTGTTTTATATCCATCCTGTCTTTCTCTCCCTGTCTCCTATGGGGAATCGATCTAGGCTCCATGTATATCTATATGGCTCGATTCATTTCCTATCTCCCACCCAAAAGCATGACATTTTGATTCTCATTCGACCCCACTGGGCTCGCCTGGTGTAGGGTCTCCTGGCCGCTATGAACATGGTCAGTGGTTGATCTGGTGGACCCTTTGTTTTCGAGCTCAATTCTCTCTCCTTTTACTAGACCCCTGGATTTTAGCGGCATTTCTCTTTAGGGATTATGTGTACAACGTGGTTTTATTATGAATGAAACGATAGTACCGCACTACAATTTACCTTTTCTCGAAATCGTAATTCAAGACGTAGAACAAGAAGGGGATATAATTCCTGTTTTAGAATGGTATATGTGATAGTGATAGGCTCATTACCAAATTTGTTCTCGTGTACAGGTGTTGCACATAAATGTGAAGGAGAAAGCAAACGCCAAACACCAGCCCAGATGCTAAGTTGATGAGCCAGCGGTTTGATATGGAAAGGAGAAAGAAAAAAAGCAGGGACGCAACAAGAAGATCATCAAAGACCGAGCTTAACGTCCTCTTCCACGTCCACCACCACCACCGCCACCTCCCATTCCACCCATCAATCCGCCCATTTGGCTCATTAGGCTCTGCATATCCGGCATGCCGCCACCACCACCACCTCCCATCATCTGCATCATTTTGGCCATGTCAGGCATACCCGGCATACCACCACCGCCAGCACCACCCATGGAGGCCATGCGCTTCTGCATGGCAGCCATCTGCTGGTTCTTGTTTCCACCCTTCATCATATTCTGAGCTTGCTGCATCTGCTTCTTCTGGCCGCCAACACGCTTGGCCATACCGGCCATCATGCGGTGCTGGGAGAGCAGGTCCTCGACTTCACGGACCGTGGTCCCACTGCCGTGCGCGATGCGGACCATGCGGCTAGGCTGCTCGATGAAGTTCTTGCCGTCACCGTCCAGCTCGGCTACAGTCATACTGTCGAAGATGTAGACCATGCGGCGCAGCTTCAGTGAGCCGTCCTCGTCATCCAGACCCTGGGTCATGTTCGACAAACCGGGGATCATGCCGGATAGCTTGGACAGTGGGCCCATCTTCATAATCGATGTGATATTCTCCCGGAAGTCGCGCAGAGTGTAGATACCTTCCGCAATGTGCTTGTATGTTTCCTTGGCACCCGCGGAATCCTTTGTCATGGCCTGGACGTGCTCGACCAGGCCGGCCACATCACCCATGCCCAGTAGTTTTTGAACGAACGCGCGGGGCTCGAACCGCTCGAGATCCATCATGTGCTCACCAGTACCAAGGAAGATAATGGGAGTGTGTGTCGCGGCGACAGCAGAAATGGCACCACCACCGGCGGCATGGCCGTCAGTCTTCGTAATAATAATAGCTCCAAAGTCTGCCGTTGCCTTGAACGCTGCGGACTGGGCCTCGGCAGATTGACCAATTGTGCTGTCAAGAACGAGAATGGTCTGGTCCGGTGTCACGGCAGTTTGAATTTGTGTCATTTCCGTGAAGAGCTCCTCCTCCTGTCTGTGGCGACCACTGGTATCAACAATGATGATATCGAATCGCTCCTTCTTAAACTTGGCCACACCCTCTGCGGCCACGACAGCAGGATCCGTCTGCGTCAGACTACCATAGTATGGGATCTTAGCCTTAGTAGCGTTCTGCTTCAGCTGATCGAAAGCACCAGCACGGAAGGTATCCGCGCAGACCAGCGCTGTCTTGAATCCTCGCGTCTGGTAATGCCGAGCTAGCTTTGTACACGTTGTTGTCTTACCCGCACCCTGCAAACCGACAAACATGATCACATTGGAGCGACCCTTCTTCGGCCGGAAGGAGTCTGCATGGGGGTCCACCAATTTTACGAGCTCATCGAAGACGGTCTTCTGGATCAGTCGCTTCTTGTTCACTGCGGCTGGGAGAGAGGCGAAGTTTACGCTGGCTTTGATCGACTTGCGTAGCGTTCCTACGAGACGGACGTTGACATCGGCGGAGAGGAGAGCGGCGCAAATTTCCTTAAGCATGTCATCGAAGGCCTGTTGTTGTATTAGCGGGTTGGCTTGTGGGCCATACTGGACAACACATGGCATACCTTCTCATCGAGGTTATTGGACCTCGTTAGGTCATTGACGGCGGAGTTGATTCGTCGCCCAAGGTCTTGAAGAACCATGGTGAATATGTGTGTAGATGTAAACGATTAATAAGAAAAACCAGAATGAGACCGTAGTCGTCTATGATTCCGCGATGGAGGAGGGGTGAGGGTGAAGCCCGTCGAGAGACCAGAGAGGCGATGTGGAGGGGCCAATCGGAGAGCCGACGCTTTCTCACCGCCCCAAAAAAAAGTTGTGATACGGGCACTTTTGGATCAGCGTCTTGACTTTCTTCTTTACTTGCATTATTACATTATTCGTTTGTAACAATGCCTCCTCCTTTTTCCAAGAAGCGCAAGGTACTTGATGGTCTGAAGGGCAACACTGGCCGCAAGAAGAAGTTCGTTAAGCAGCGCTTCTATCACAGCAGCTCCGAGGACGAAGAAGAAGATGGGAATTTCAACCCCGTTAGTCTTGAAGACTCGGACGCCGAAGAAGGAGGTGTCACAGTGACCAAGCCCTCGGCCCTCGATCTCCGCATGAAGAAGGCAAAGACACAAGAAGAAGCACCCGCACCCGAACCGAAAAAATCAGACGCTAGCGCTAGCGACTCAGACTCTAATGTCGGCGAAGAGATTGAGCTGGACGACGAAGACCTCGAGAATGACGACGATGAAAGCGACGCCTCTGGATCCGACGAAGATGATATCTCCGACTCGTCCCCGGCCGGCAAAGCTACCGGCGCCAATCGCGGCCGAGCTGTCCCCAAGCGCAACGACCCTACCGCATTCTCAACCTCCATCTCCAAAATTTTGTCCACAAAACTTCCTACCTCCGCACGGGCCGATCCCGTTCTCTCGCGAAGCTCGTATGCCGCCAAGCTGGTGAACGATGCTGCAGATGAGAAGCTCGACAACGCCGCGCGGGCTAAGATACGCGCTGAGAAGAAAGAGGAAATGGATCGCGGCCGTATCCGTGACGTGATGGGTATCAAGCGAGGAATTGCTGGCCCCGTCGCCGAGGAGGAGAAGCGCGTGCGCAAGATGGCGCAGCGTGGTGTTGTCAAGCTGTTCAATGCTGTGCGCGCGGCTCAAGTCCGAGGAGAGGAGGCGGCCAAGGATGAACGCAAGAAGGGCACAATTGGTATGGGAGAGCGGGAGAAGGCTGCCAACGAGGTCAGCAAGCAAGGATTCCTTGAATTGATCAATGGAAAGAAGGGAAAGCCTTTGAACATCGAAGAGGCGTGAGCTGGATCTACGATTACCCATGGCATGTTTCTGGCGTTGGGAGAATTCTTTTGTTATATATTTTTTTCTACATTGTAATAGAATTGCTTATGTAGAGAGTCTTGTTTGATCAAAATAGTACAGGAGATTTTCATTTTGAGATACCGTGCAAGCCTACTAGATGCATCAGATGAATATTACAGTACAAAGTCCTATTTGATCCCAAATAGGACTACAAACCCTCGCTGTGTCCAGCCTTTTTGATTCAGATAAGATATGAGGGTATTTAAAATCCAAACAGTCCCACCCGGGGTTTCTGCTGGTCTCTTTATTTCGACTCAAAGTCGCTTGCCTGGAGATTCCGTGTCATGGATGGCAATCGCACAACCAATCCGTCAAGATCCTTGGTCATGATCACCTGGCAGCCCAACCGAGAGGTCTCGGTAAGCCCGAAAGCCAGATCCAACATGTCGTTCTCGTCGTCCGATGGTTCTTCCATTTTATCAAAGGTCTCTGGATCGTCCACAATCACATGGCACGTTGAGCAGGCACAAGATCCTCCACACGCACCTATTCCAAGCATAATGTCAGACATTTGGAACTAAATAACCATTATGTCGGCTCGACTCACCTTCCATTTCAAGGTCATTGGCCTGTGCGATGTCGAGTAGGTTATCGCCCTCGGCAACCTGGAGGTCTATCTTGGTGCCATCCTTGTCGATGAAAGTCAAATTGATCCTACAGAGTCAAGTCAGCATGCAGCACAGATAGCGCAAAAGCGCAAGAAGAGTGCAATCTGCTGGGCATACTCTTCTCCGGCCTTTGGCGGCGTGATATGACCATGCGCAGCTTGGGCAGTCACTGAGAAAGTACGCCGGGACGTATTATATCCTTGCCAAGGTGATTGAAGGCTTCCCTGTGCTTTGATTTGCGAGCGAATGGGTGTTGTGATTCCGGTGTTCTTCCATGACCTTGAATAACTTAGGCATCTCCGCGATTGAGTCAAACAAACATCCCCGGTCTTGGATACACGGCGCAATTGCTGACCAACCCCACGCCAGAAAGCCATGTTGCAGATAAGTGAATAAATAAATTAGAAGGGGAATTTGAAAGTCAAAAGAGAAAAAAAGAGGATCCCGGGGAAGATGGGAAGAGGGAGCAATGATCGGCCAATGGCCGCCGCGGAAAAAAAATGACTGACAAAGCTTAGGCGTTCGGACATTCCACTCCTCCCGTTCTTCTTTCTCCGAACTACCTTTAACTCCGACCAACATCACAATATGGCGTCTCGTGAAGGGATCAATCCCTTGCGGCCTTACTATATTCCCCCGTCTGGCTTATCGCCTGCTTCGAATGCGCCCCCCGAGGTGGCATCGCCGTCATCGGCCCAGGTGTTTGGCAGCACAGCTCGTGATCTCATACCGGACTTGGACTATGCCGATTACTTGGAAGCCTCGCCCTCTGTGTCTGACTGGGTCCGCGATACCTTGAACCGAGCGCTTGTGCGCTACACCAAAGTTCTGACCGCACAGCCGTTCGATGTCGCCAAAACCATTTTGCAGGTGTATGTCGTACCAGACGCCACAGAGGAGCAGTGGGATCGGAACTCGACACCGGGTGCTGAAGGAAGCTCTTATGATTCGGTAAGAATGCTGTTCTCTATAGCTGATATAAAGCTGTATTGAATTCCACGACAAATAACTGACAGAGTTGCGTATAGGACTCAGAATCATCTGATGATGAAACCAGTTACTTCACCTCAGCGGCCCCTCCAACACCGACACCGAGTACACCTCGATCTCGCAAATCACGCCACCACATCACCGACCGCAGTGGCTATATTCGACCAGAATCTGCCGCACAGCCCAAACATGCCTTAACTCTCAAGAACTCGAACTCCTTGACCGAAGTGTTATCCCAACTTTGGTCCTCCAGCGGCCCAACCTCCCTCTGGAAGTCCTCTAACAGTACATTCATTTACTCACTTCTCCTGCCGACCTTAAACACTTTCATCCGCAGTCTTCTCACGGCAATCGTCGGTTTGCCCGAGGAAGACATCTCCACGTCAATGACAGCGGACATTCTGACGGCATCATCCCCTCTGGCAACGCTGGTCTTGTCATTCATTTCATCCTCGCTATCAGCCCTAATCCTATCTCCTATCGACACTGCCCGTACATTCCTGATGCTCACACCAGCAACCCATGGGCCGGGGTCCCTCGTCCGAGCTATCCGCCAGCTCCCCACACCCAACTGCACAATCCCCTCGCATCTCGTCCCAATCACCGTGCTTCACTCAAGTCTCCCCAACCTTATTATGACCTCCACACCACTCTTCCTCAAGTCCTATATGTCCATCGATCCCCTCCTAAACCCGAACGCATGGAACCTCTGTGCCTTCCTTGCCTCCGGACTTGAACTCGCCGTACGATTCCCCCTCGAGACCGTGCTCCGCCGCGCCCAGATCGCCACATACACATCCTTGAGTCTGCGCCAAAAGTCATCGGGCGGTAGCATCAGTGCGGCATCTATCGATGCGTCCGATGTGGAAACCATCGTCCCTACTCCGCGCACATACCGCGGTATCATTGGCACAATGTGGCATGTCGTTTATGAGGAGGGTGTCAGCTCGAACCCCTCCGACACAGAGCGTGCCAAGCAGCTACTTGGCCAGCGTACCTCGCAGAAGAAGCGAGAGCAAGGCCAGGGTATCCAGGGCCTGTACCGCGGCTGGCGTATTGGCATGTGGGGTATCGCCGGCATCTGGGGAGCTAGTCTGTTGGGCGGAATTGCTGGTGGCAGCGAAGACGAGGTTACAACAAGAGGTGGCCATGGCCGCTCTAGCGGTGGACGCTTCTGAGCACATTGTCGAGCCAGGTGACCTCCGTATTCGTCTTCCTTTTGGGGGCCACCAAATCGCCACTCAACTGATTCAATTAATTATTCGTGAAGAGACGCCCCTCAAATGAAGCCTCTCATGCGATTCTATTTCATTTCTCATTCCCTCTTGCTTGACTGGTCGAGACAGTTCGATGTCTTGAGTCTTCCAGATTGGCAACATCAGAAGCGTCTCCCATCGCGTGCGTCATTGATCTTCGGTCCGCATATCTCCTCTCCTTCTCCCTCCTGTCTACATCTTATACCCCAGGGAATGGATCCTAGGGGGCAAAGGCGATCGGCGTTATGCTTTTGGTTCAACAATCCCCCCAGCGCAAACCGTGTATAAAATCCTTCCTTCCCCGCCACATAGCTATGTAACGAGATACAAATCACAGCCCGATCTCGCTTCGGGCTTGCTAGGCATTTAATTTACTGGATACTTGATTATAGGAACTGAATTTTTGATATTGTGCGATTCAAGGTCGCTCTACTCACTGCCGTATCACTCAAGATACCGTGCCCAGATGCCAGCTGATTGGAAGAATCTATGTAACATGGTCATCGAACCTGCTTTGAACACAGTCGACTGAGCAAATGAGACGATCCATTTGAGAAACGATCAAATCAGCTAAGCAAGTCTCTCAATCTTCTGCAGTCGATCCGCAAGTTGAAAGTAGAGATCATTAACCGTCTCAAAAAACCACTTCGTCAACTCTGGCACCCGTCCCACAACAGTCCCAAGCACCACACTCCAGCTGAGATCCGGGATCTCATCCTCAACCACACGGCCTGGCGGCAGAGATGGGCCATGGACACTCACATCCCGGTCCAATGGAACACTGAGACGATACTTCCAAACAACCTCCCCATCCACATACAATGAGTACGTAAGGACCGAGCTGCGAGCCCGGACAGGCGCAGCAGCACTCGAACCAACATCTTCAACGACATCCGCAATATCAATAAGCCCGAACTTGCTATTCCCATTCGGCGCATACTTCACCATAACATCCTCGGCGTCTGTCTGGTGGTACGTACGGATGGGGAGGTAAAACATACTCAATGGGCCAACACTGAACTCATGCAGTCCCACCCCAGCCGTATTAGGCAGAAGCTGATCACGACCTATGTTAAGCTCCGGGTCCGGGAATCTAGTAGCACCGAATTCATGTCTGTCACCGCTAAGCAAGACGACACGGATTCCTAGCTCGCGTTCCGCGCGCCACATTGCTTCGAAGACGATGCGACGCTCGTCCAGGAACCCGCCCCAGGTATCTGTGGTGCCAACGTGCCAGTTCTTGGTGAAGGGCACGCTGGAGGATATGATTTTCCAGTGTATACCTGCTGGCTCTGGGGTTGAGATGTACGTGAGGAGGGATTGTAGCTGGGAACCACCGAGGATTGTTGAGTTCTTGTGCGAGGGATCGGTGCGGTAGGTGCGTGTGTCTAGCATGAAGAATGAGGCTGGGCCCTGCGTGAAGGCGAAGTAGGTTACATTGTCTGGATGGGCGAAGGGTGCGACGGGGATGGGTGGGTTTGCTTGCACGTGGTAATGGATGAATGGGTCTGCTGCTGCGGGATACGGGGCGGTTTTGTTGCCCTGCGACCAGTCGTTTTCGATCTCGTGGTCGTCGAGGGTGTGTAGCCAGGGGAGGTCGATAGCGCGGTTTTCTTCTGGGCCGTGGGTCCAGGAGGGGGATGAGTAGATGCGTCTGTACTCGCTGCGATAGTGCGACATTGTTGAGCCAAAGCGCCAGGGGACATCTATGTAGATAAAGTCGCCTAGGAAGAGCATGAATGCTGGGCGAAGTCGCTTGGGCAGTTTGGCGAGAGCATCGGTCATTTGCTCGAGGCCTGGGATCCGCAGTGGGTGTGATAGTATGTTGTAAGGGAAGTTTGGCTTCAGACAACTTGATGTTACGAAAGACAGTCGGCTGGCTTCAGGGGCTTCGGGCTCTGGCGCCGTGGTAAATGTGCCAGATTTGTTGTTAGACAGCCAGTAACGATATTGTGTCGCCGGCTTCAGGTCGGTTATGGTCACCGTAGTAGTGAAGTCGGTGGAGTTATCCACCTTGTAGACGATGCCCTCTTCGTACCAGTCCTGGCTTGTTTTAGAGACCTCCTGGAACATGACCGCCACTGGTAGGCGAGCCGGGTCTGGCTCGCGAAAGGCCAATTTCGCAGTGGTCGGGGACACATATCCAATGCGCGAGAATGCGACATCTGTGGTAGGATAAAGTAGAATCCCACGGGTCAAGAAGTCAAGTGTTAGCGCTGCTAGGACGACATTGACTAATATCGTGATCCCAGTCCAAAGGGGCCACTTTGCCGAAGGCAGCCCTGTCAACAGTGTGCTAAGCACAGAATCGCCGGCTTTAGCACGGCTAGATCCTGAGTTATACCCTGGGAATCATGTAGTTAGAATCCCGTATTGTGACTATTTCGAAGTGGATGGAGCCTGACTGTTCGAGCTTCGGCCTTTCGCCGTCTGGTTTTGAGGCCGGGTGTCCTTGAGCAAGGAGAATATTGACGACAGGTACACCACTAGGGAGGTAACCACAACAGGCACAAAGTGATGGCCAGGGATCTGTAAATATGTGAGCTTTCTAAAACGCGAGAATGACTGTTTATGTGTTTATGGGGGTCTTATACCCATCGCAGAAACACTAAGGTCGTCAGTCGGATGATCGCGGAGCTCGTGGTTACAGCAACGCGCCGTAGGGAGGCCATTATGCAAGCAATATGACCAGCCGTAAAGAGAAAAAGCACAGTATGTTAAATAGAAACAATGGAGATGGCGAAGAGTGGAGGATCTTTTCAAGTGTTGATTGATGCGATGACGTATCCATCTAGGGAAAGATCAACATTCATACTATGCACACAACATAGTTAGTTGATATTGAAAATCAATTTGCCCTGGAAATTGTATAAATTTGGATAAATCATACAATTTATGTCTATTACGAACTACAAGTTTACTTACTTTAACTACAACGGTAGTACCCTACAATTAGGTACTAAAAGCCGAGGCTCTAGTAATACTCTCATGTGGCTAGGAATTTATGCAGGCCAACATTGACAAAGCCATTCGCTACAAGTATATAGCCATGGCCTATCAGAAATGCTAGATATCCATTTCGCTTCATCAACGTCCCTGATTCAGCATATCTTGAAACAAATTATTCAGAGTGCTCGCCATCGGCCCTGCCGACATTAACTGACGAGCTGCCACAACAACATCTTTCATACCCATGCTCAATGACATCTGAGCAGCCCACTGCCACGGTTTCGCTGTGCCCCCAGGTAGAGCATTGTAATACTCCCAGCCCATAACGCCACCAAAATTTGGAAACTGCTCGATCAACGTTGCCAGAACAGGCCCAATCTTCTCCTGGGACACATAACCCTGTGATCCATTACCCGGGTTTGTCAACAGGCCATAAACAATCCGTCGCGGAGACCATCCCTGGGAAACCATAGTAGCATACATCCGAGGATCCTCAGCAGGACCCCAGCCATTGTAGAACTGGGTATTGTACCAGCCGATCTTAGATGCCCGAGCCTGCTCGAGTTCACGGTAATCAAAGCCTGAGAGGTTCCCAATACCAAGTAGTGCAGCTGCCACCGGAGCCAGGGTAATGATAAATGCGTCGCCCAGATCAGCCTTGAGTCGGTCGATGAGTCGGATGATGCCTTGCAAAGACATAGTCTCTTCTACATCGAGATCAATTCCATCAAGGCCATGGCGGCGGATGATGGTCAGGAAAGGATAATAAAACTGTTCGAATTCCGCCCGGCTGCCGTCAAGCCGCGTGAACGAGCCTGGGGCGGCCCCGCCTAGCATGCCCATGACTTTCACGCCTTTTCGCTGCACGATGGGCACTTCGGCCCATAGGGGGTCGAATTCGGCGTTGTCTGGCGGGTCATCGTTGAGAGTGATGTCTCCTGGTGCACCGTTCAGGTGAAAAGCTGCGAGAATAACATGTGTTATCCCGGTGTTGTTTTCGAGGAGCGGGAGCATGGAGACATACTGGCCCCCGCCTGGGATGAGCGTTTGGTGGTACAAGATCACCCGCGGGCGCTCGCCGAGTCCACCTCGGATAGGTGGCATTTTGAAGAGAGGAAGATATTGAATATGCAGATATATGTATTTTGTAGTAACTTCATTCCATGGGCTTTGTTTGTGAGAGATGGATGACACGCATAAGCTTTGGCGGTTGGTAACTGTGGGGGTTCGAGATCCTCCAGGCTCCTAGCGTCCGGGAAAAAGGACCACAGAAGTAAATAAAATTCCAGAGTTATGCAACGACGAATTTCCAAACCAAAAATGGAAACAACCGGGGAATATCGCTGCAACACAAAGTAGTAGATCGGACTGAACACCTGCGCACAATAAACCCAAATCCGCACTGACTAAGCTGAATGTATACCAGTGTGATCTACATCCATTTTTGAGCAAGGCTGCCAGCTTTTTAGAAGGAACTATGGGTATTTCTTTGGATAAAGTAGAGCTATTTACGTACCTATGTATGTAGCTTGAATTGGATACGACTTTCTAGGGTATCTTCTGATCCTCATCCCAGATGGGCCTGGATCACTGCCTCGATACTAGAACCATGGGTGCTGATACCTATATCCATGGCGTGGGAGCCGGCTCGATGGAGAAGACCTGAAGATGACATCAAATCTGAATGCCGGATTAGTGCTCCAGCAAATTGAAATGAGCCATCAGGGACACGGTGTATCTCAGGGTGGATTTCTTCCAGAGATACACGAATGGCAGGTCTATCCTGGGAGCATACAGAAAGCTGATCAGTGGAAATCGCTGGGAATGTCATATAGAGACAAGCCACCACCGCCTCCGATGACCTAGCTGATGGAGGCAAAACAAGCGGTTCTACAGACTACATAAGTCGCGAGCCATGCCCATCAAACCAACCTTGTGGCGAAGCAACATCTCCTTGCGGAGCAGCGTATACTTCTAATATTACCTTCCACACTCAATATAATGATGGCTTTGATCAACGGTACTCAGCTCATGTCACGTCCGCTTCTTAGACTGCTTCCATCCACGCAGTCTGTGAATGTTGGATTGTGGCATCGCTGTAGTGTCGCCACAGCACCACCGCCCAATCGTCCACATCACCCTAACCCTGGGAATTTTTCAAATCGTCCACGCGAAGAGCTTTCAGAGATAGGCCACAAGGGTGGGAAAAGGGTGGGAAAGCCACCGGTGTGGGTGGATTCCATAATATGGATCCAGAGAAACAGGTGAGAGTGCCACAACATCAACAACAAACCTTGTCGTTAATTGTATGAACATGAGTAAATAGCGTGCTATCGCTTCGAAAGGCGGTCGTGCTGGTGCTCGGAACAAACCACCAGGGAACGGGGAAACCGAGTCAGAAGCCGAACGGCGTGGCCGATCGCATGAGCCTTCGGTAGTTCCACCTGGATTCGAAGAATGGAAGACAATGGCTTGATTTTCGATCAAACTATTGATTTTAGGGTCAATTGCATGCAAATAGCAAATAATAAATATGAAACAAAAGAGAAGAGAGAAGTAACAAGTAAGAAGCATATCAGACACAAAGAGGCCGCTAGACCTAAAAAGGCAGTGGATAAACATTGGTGCCTCAGGCGCTAAAATACAAACCGTCGCGAGATTCTTCAGTCTTTCTTTTCTCCCCCGCAATTTGGTTATTGTTATTTCTCTATTTACCCAGTTAATATCTTTCATTTGGTGTCACCTGAGCGCAACCGTAGGGATTGTACTTGACCCCTGCTTTGGTAGTTTTGGCCTTATCGTGTTGCCCTCAATTTCGCGCATCCGCACGCGTGCGCAACCATGGCCAACACGGGCTATACCTCGCCATTTCCAACCTCACATGACACCATCGGGCAGTCAACACTAGTGACACCTCTCTTCATGCCATCCTCTCCTCCACAACATCCTTCCAGCCCATTGGGATCTCCGACAACCGCCCAAACTCCTGCAACTGCCCAGACTCCTGTAACCGAGCGCGCCGCAACACGTGGCCAAGCCGCTGACGATGAATACCATTCCGATAATGAAATTCAACATGTCTCTCGGTCACCCTCTCCTGGAAGTCCAACGGGCTCAGATCTCGATGCGCGACTTGCCGATTATACCTTGGACTTCAGCAACTTCCCGAGCGGCCATTTTGCCTTGGATGGGCACGAGGACACTCTGCCCCCTTTCCACCAAGATGTAGATAAACTATCCGATGTTGGAGGCCCGGAAGACTTTACTGCGAATATGGAGAAATACCTGATGGGCGATATGGAAGACGGAGCGGACCATGAGGATGAACAGGAAGAAGACTACGGATCAGTACGACGCTCTTCCCGGAAGTCGAAGCAAGCCGTGATCGAAGAAGAACCCGACTCCGGCGAATACAGTGAATTCGGACCGCCAGTGGATATGTCGACTCCGTCACACCTATTGCACCGGACTAGCGCTCTTCCCAAAGACTCGACTCACCTGGAAGGTATTGAAGAATACCCCGATGATGACGAGGCTCAGGATTCCGCATCCCCTTCCATCCGAAAATTGTCGGATGCCTCCAGTCATGCACCAGAGGAGCAAAATGAGGACCTTCACCAGCAGATTGCACAACTGCAGCAAGCCTTGAAGGAACGCGATGACCAATTACAGAAGAATCGGAATCGTGTGCTCGAAGCTGTTTCTGCTGGTGAGCAGATCCGTCATCTCCAGACAGAATTGCAGCGGAAGAATGCTCTCCTGGATGAGGTGAATGCCAAAGGTAGCGACGAGGCAATGCTGCGCGAGCAAGTTCAGTCACTTCAAACGAAAAATGAAGAGCAGGAAAAGCTATTGCGCCAGTCAAGCATGAACACAACGGATCTCAGTCCTCTTTTGAACCAGATTCGTGAGATGCAACAGCAGCTCCAAGACAGAGATGCACAGACTTCGATGGACACGGAGCGGTTGGAGACAATTGCTCACCTACGCCAGCAACTCAATGTTTCTCAAGAGCAGGTGCGAAAGCGCGATGAAACATTGGATGAGACATTCACCAAGCTGAAGGAAGTCACACGGGTCAAGGATACACAGATACAGGAAAAGAACTCGGAGATTGATCAACTCCAAGCACAGATCGACGACTACGGGCTGGAGAACGAGAAGCTCGAGTCGGAATTAGAGCGTGCGCACAATGATTATCAGGTCCTCGAGGAACGCTTCATCGATTTGGAAATTAGAAATCGTCCTCTGGAGGAGAAGAACACCACACTGGAAGCAAATCTCACACGTGTTCAGTCCCACATGGAAGCCCAGGAGAGTGCTCTCAAAGCTGCAGCAGCAGATCTCCCTATCAGTGGCCATAGCACATACAGCGAGATTCTTGACCTGATCAAAGATTTAGGCCCAGGGGATCCTGCATCCCCACTCCACTCACCATTGAAGGAGAAGTTCGTGGATGGCCAAGGTGTGCAGCAACCGCAACAACCCGGCATGCCAACCATTGCAAGCCTTCAGCAAGAACTCCAGGAGTTATCCGCCGCCCAGAAAGCCGCAGACACAGAAGCAGCATGTCTGCGTGACCAGGCAACTGAAGCACAGACCCTTATCAAGACCATCGAAACAGAGAACTCGCGACTCTCCACCCGAGTGAACGAGCTCACAACGGCCCTAAACAAGTGCCAGCACGACCTAATCCAATCGCAAGAAAGGAACGCCGAGTCCCTCGAGACGATCGCCCGCTTGCAAGAAGACAAGATCGCCGAACCTCCCAGCCCACCCCCGTCACCCCCAACAGCGCGTGGAGCTCTCAATCCAGAGCCAAGAGGACCGGACACAGCAGCCCTGGAGGCGAACCACCAAAGCCAACTCCGCAGCCTGCAAACCGCACACTCAACTGCAGTGTCAACTCTGCGCGCCTCGCACGCCGAGTCAATGCGCAAAATCCGCAACCTCCTCACAAGCGCCGAGCAACGGGAAACCGATCTACGCTCGGAACTTGCAAATCTCCGCTCCTCATCCACCACCTCCGAAACCCACCTACGCAAGAGTTTCAAAATAGAACTCAGACGCCTAGAAGACGTTATCGCCGCAAAGGACGAAACCGCAGCCGAGGTCGACCAGCGCATCGCTTTGTCGGTGGACAAGCGCGAGCGCGAGTGGGAGCGACGCATCGACCTGCTCCTCAAGGAGCGTGATCGCATGGCCAAGGCTTTGATGATGAGCTGGGGTGAGAAGGAACTTGGTCGTGGACCTGGGTCTTTGGCTGAGAGTCAAGGCAAGGAGAGCCGTCGTCGTGACCGGGAACGTGATGTGGATGCCAAGAGTGGACAGGCTTATCGCTACAAGTACGCTCAGAAGCAGAAGTCTAAGAGCACGGAGGCTAGGGCTTAGATGGGGTTGGCTAATCTTGTTGTTTCTCTGCGGGTTGATGTACAATATCGGGTTGTGGATTGCATTGTGTTTCTTTTGATTCGTCTTTAGCGACCTGGTGTACCTTCCTGGAATGGAATTTGGGATCTGAAATTGCATGTCTTCGTCTGTTCTGTTCTTCGTTGAGGCGGATTTTGCATCTTGTTTCTTTCGAGTGCTACCAAATGAATTTTGTACTGATCTTTTTACCTTCTCTTTAATTATAGTTTAAATGCTTCTTTCTATTGTTTCTATTGTAAACAAATTTAATTCGGAACCTAAAGTGGGCTTCAAAAGCTAACTGTAGTAACACTGAGAGTAAGAAAAATAACCAAATCATCCTGGTACACCTGAGCACAAACCATATAGCCCCGAAAAATAAATCAAATGGAACCAAAAAAAAATGTCCGACCAGCAGACAGACAGATATTAATAATACTCAAGATCCCCTCAATAAAAGCCCAAGCTCGTCCGATTTGCACCACGATATTCCGTCTCATCAATAGAATTAGACGGTAACTCTAAGCAAGCAGTCGAAACAGGCCTGGGATCATAGCCCGAAGCATGTAGGTCAGTTGTCTCCAAGATACAGCTGAGTGGGCCACTTGCGCTGGCAGGGGTACTGCTGCGCGAACGGCGGGTGCTGGGATAGATTAATTCGACATCATTGCGACGGGGGATCAGTCCTGGCATGGATCTGACTGAGCCGTAGCGACGCTGGTTTGCCCAGCGGGATGATTGGTGTCCATACTGGCGGTTTCCGTGGCGGGTCTTGGGGTAGAGGTTATACTGGCTCTGGGAGTGACGCGGGATGTTGTTTGGGTCGAAGTGATAGGAGGAGCTGCGGACGGGGTAGTGTATGATGTTCTGTTGGGGTTGCATGGTCTTTCGCATTGAGTTTGGGTGCATTCTCGGGCCGGGGGCTTGACGACGGGACTGGGAGTATGCTCTTGGTTGTGGTTGGGAGGGCGGGCATGGGACGAAATTTGGGTGGTACGGGTTGTGGATTGAGCGGGCTGCGGATATGGCGTGGGCTGTTTGGGAGCGGCGCACTTTTGGTGGAGAGGATTGGGTTGTTGGAACTACTTCCGGGGCGTCGGCGGAGTTCATTGACATTGTTCGGGTGTGGCCATTTGGGTGTTCTGGATTGGATATTGGTTGGGTGCTTGCAGAGCTTTGGGGGAGGGATTCTGAAGAGGCGTTTGGCGTGTTGCCGTTTGGGATGAGTTGAAAGGTTGTGGATTGAGGGATTCCCTTGGGCATGCTGTTTGATGTCACGACCTGCTTTTCGACATCCGATGCGGTGTTGGGTTCTGCGAGGGCCTGGATTTGAGGATCCGCTGATAATGGAAGGGACAGTGGGAAGGATTTTGGAAGAAGTCGTCTAAGAGAAGATAGTGATGACTTTCCTCTCTTATGGCTTGTGTATTCCTGAGGAATAGGAGGGACTTTAGGAGCAGGCGCATTATTGAGAAGAGAGCGTAATTCGTTGGCTGTCTGTGAACTCATGACCGTAGAGGTGCTCGAGATGGGATAGAACTCGCTAGCCAGGCTTTGTGATCCGGGCGAGATACGGTGTGCAGTGTCCTCTGGCGAAATCGTCGTTCCAGACATAATCTCTCCGTACGTCGAACCGGGATCAGTGTTGACTCGGAGTTGAGGCCGCAGACGGACGGGGGCAGGATGCCGGATGCTGGGATGGCAGTTGACTTTGTTGGCTATTGGGTCCACAGACCAGAACTCCCCGGCTCCGTTTCCATCGTGTTGGCGGCAAAGATAGATAATCTCGTTTTTGAGCGTTTCCTCGCTGTCCCAGCTATTGCCGGAGATGATACTGCCATTTCTGGTGACTTGCTGGCGCTTGTAAATACCGAGAAGAGATACATCATATGGGCGGTCGCAAAGCTCCCTTGCGCAGTACATAGTACACATAGTGACCCTGCAGGATGATTGTCAGTTCAAGTGAAGTCGCCGTGGAACGAAAATGCAGCATACAAAGAAATAACCGATACGATCACAGACGCTCGGTGGAAGGCACAGCTTTTACCAACTCTCCAGAAGGATGCATCTGTCCCTTCCGGCAAACAGTACACCTGCTGTGCAGCAACCACCAAACCAGCGACACTTGTAGCTAGCCAGAGCATAAGATCCAAGCGCATGACATATGTGCATATATTATGCAGAATAGTTTTCTGGGTTCCAAATCCACCAATGTTGTTGTATTGCCAAGCGACCAGGCTTTGGAGGCCGACAAGTGGCACTGAGAGGAAAGACTGAATAGAAGTCAGCCACACGATATAGTAGGCAAGGATATTCAAGTCAAACATACTGCGACAAGTGCAAGTACAACACTCGGAGTCATTTTTGAGTCAACCTGGCCATTGCCGTAAAGGTATAGTACGGCAACCCATTCCAGGATAGACTCGAGGAGTAGCAAGTATAGCGCAACAAATATCACAAGCTTCGTCCATGTACCCTCCTTTCGCGGTGTATCTGAAAATCCAGGCGCCATGATCGCGATAGGTGACGAGCGACTTTTTTAGTGGCCCCCTTCAAGTTTGCTATGTTTTGGTACCCGCGTAGGGAAGAATGCGACTATGTTGAAGGTGAAGAACAGGCGTATCGAATGCGCCGGGTCCAAATCGAACCCAGTTGTAGTCACGCTGAAAGTTCATCAATTGGCGCAAAGAATAGCATACATAAGGTTGGTACCAAGAGGGCCGTTGAAGGACTAAAGAAGAATTTAATGAAGGTCTCTCAGCCCTGGAGCGCGTCGACGCGAATATATCGTGGAGGGGTGGAATGTAGCAGCCGAGGGGGCGTGCGTCAAAAGAATCCAAGGCCCTGGGGATGACCCTCTCTGCGGAGGGTAGTCCATCTTAGTTTGATAACGTGGAATGCTGAGGACTTGCTAGTGCCAGGGTGCTAGTGCCAGGGGTGTGTTGAGGGTTTGGTTGTTGTTAGCCTTATCCCTGTGGGCCTGTCTGTTCAGACGTCAGTTCGTTTCAGTCCCTGAGAATGGAAGTTATAGAGACAATTTGATCTTCTAGGAATCCAGTACGATTATTTCTCCGTGCATCGAAGGGCTGTCCTTGATGAAGGTGAAGGTAGGAGGATATAGGCGATCGTGACTGCCGGGAGCCCTAGATCCCTCGATGACGTCGTCAATAACCACTCCGACCATCAACAATCGCAACAAATCCTTGAATATTGCGATCAAAGACTGCACACTTCTAATGTCCTTCTCCTTTTACTCAATTTCGTGCTAATGGCTTATCGCTTTGTGTAGTCCTAGCTAATTCTATGCACAGCACGTGATCGGAGGGGGTTGATCTTCCAGGGTTGTCAGTAAGGACAAGAAATGAGCGTTGAACCTAGATTAACAAACATTCTGACGGATTTGACAGGCACCTGAATGAAGTGTTTCTGATGGTTTCCCGTTGTGGAATGCGCTTCTGATCTGACTGTGAACTGCTGAGATTGCCCGTAACCCAAGGCACGCGGTTTTTTTATGCACAAATGAAAAGTTCCCCGAAGGAGCATATTCGCTCCTCCTTGTTGGAAAAAAAATATTGGGGTTTTTATCGATAGTTTAGGGTGGAGGGCTGTGTGCGCTTAAGAATTGGTCAACTGGTCGTTATATATAATAGAGATACCCGTTGGGTCCATCAACATCAAGCACTTGCAAAACCCAAGAGCAATATGTGTATGCGCCAACCCCAATATCCTTGAAAATACGATCAACCACAACTTCAGCAACATTGGAAAGCTGAATGGGAATAATTGCTATACTGGCAAACCTACAAAAGTCAAGGGCCCTAATACACAAGAATGTCAAGCATTAAGATATGAAATTTTATCATCGCCAACCACCCCTTGACTAGGCCGTTTCTCCTGTTGCATCAGCTGCAAATTATGCAATGTTTCAATGGATTTTGGCTCAGTTAGCCTATCTTCTTTTTATCATTCAATTCCGACAATTACAATGATGCAACAAAAGAGTGGATATGGATGTAGATGACCGGGAATGTAGAAAGTGATGACTGTTTAATGCCTAGTTGAGAACAGGGGGAAGATGGCATCTGAGCGGCATCCAATCAAGAAGCTACAGCATCTGATAGTCCATAAATTCAGTCGACTATCCATCTCTACCTATACGTGAGACCCTCACAGAAGTGATAAAGGCTCCCAGAGCGTTATTCAGTTCCCGGAGCTATATGGTTTCGTTGCAGGTCGAATCAGGTCAATTGGCGTTTACTGGTCTCTTGCAGTGTGGGCCATAACATCACCATCGATCAGCTTGTCAGTGGCAGCATCCATGGGGACAGCGCCGGAGCAGTAGATGACACCATTGACGACGATGGCCTGAGAGTAGATACCGGGGAGGGGCTCGGTTGCCTTGTCGGTAAGGACGGCGGTCTTGGAGGACATTGTGGGAGTTCGTAAGCGGTGGATGGAATATGAGCTAGGGGTGAGTTAATTGAGCTAAAGTGATGGAAAAGCAGCAGCAAGTTGCCCCCCCCCCCCTTGCGCAGCGGATGCGCTCTTTATCAACCGGAGCTACGTCTGCATCCGATATTAGTCAGATTAAAACGCAAAAAGTGGCCCCATTTTGTCCGATAACACAGAGATATAGAGCCGAGAAACATGAAGGCTCATGAGGGGCTTTACGAAGGGTACGGTGGATAGGAATCAATAATGGGGACGACGGTGTCACTGGGCCACTGTAACAGTCCAGTTGATCATTGCCCAAAGAGGCATAAAGTAAGCTTATCATCTTATCAGTGGTGTTCCCCGCATGGTCTGCCCCACTCCCTGCGTGGGGGTGGACTTCCAAGGTTGTATTGAATAGAAGTAGACCCCAAGGGCCAGGAAGCTTGTGATATTTCTGTTTTCTTTTCTCTACAACTTGAAAATGACTGTCGGGATTACTCAACCTCCGTATCCTCTCCACGAGTCCGTTAAAGATTTGTTGGACCCGGAGTATGTCGCATTCTATAACGAGAATGTCATCAATAACCAGCAGGTGCACCTCCAGCCCGTGGAAGCTTCACGGACAAGTGGTGTCTTGATTCCTGGTGCAGGTCCTATGTTGGAGGCGGGCAAGACTCAAGACATTACTGTTCAGCGACGAGCTACCGAGGGCCCAGCAGTGCCCATCCGCTGCTTTACCCCCAAGGGCAAGGTGCCTCCTAGTGGATGGCCAGTGATGCTATATTTTCACGGTGGTGGCTGGGTGCTGGGTAACATTGATACGGAGAACGTGGTTTGCTCGAATCTTTGTGTACGAGGCAACTGTGTCGTGATCACAGTTGACTACCGGTAAGCCAAATCCACTGCCTAATCACGCCATACATACATAACCTTGAGAAGTTCCAACCTAATTTGTCTTATTTTATCCTAGACTTGCACCCGAGGACCGCTGGCCAGCCGCAGTCCATGACTGCTGGGAAGCTCTCCTCTGGCTGATCGCCGACGGCCCCTCCGAACTCTCAGTGGACGTATCCAAACTTGCAACCGGTGGCTCCTCCGCCGGTGGGAACCTTGCCGCGATTATGACGCAAAAGGCGCTTACTCTGTCACCGCCTGTTCACTTCCAGGCCCAGCTCCTCTCTGTCCCTGTGACAGACAACACTGCCACAGTAGAGAACAACGAGTCATATCGTCGGTATGAACGGACCCCCGCACTCCCCGCACTTAAAATGTACTGGTACCGCGACCATTACGTCCCCAACGACGTGGATCGCACCAACCCAGAGTCGAGCCCACTTTTCTGGCAGGGCGATTACTCGCAATTGCCACCTGCATTGGTTATGGTTGGCGAGTTGGATGTGCTGCGTACGGAGGGTGAACAGTATGCGGCGAAGTTGCAGAAGGCTGGTGTGGCTGTTGATTTGCAGGTTATGAAAGGCATGCCACATCCATTTTTGGCTATGGATGGGGTATTGTCTGAGGGCAAGAGGTGTATCACTCTGATGTGCGATGCACTTCAAACGGCCTTTTGGGCTGAGTGAACGATTTCTTTTTAATATAAATATCGCCATGAAGATGATCTAGATAAGAGATCTACTTATTAGGGCATTCCAAAGAGAGAAGAAGCAAGAGAGAGCAACAAATGTATCTAGCTACTACCTACTGGCCACGTGAGAGACCTATGGTTCTCTAACGCACTCATAGTGGCCTGAGGTTTCAACAAATTCCTTTTTTGTTCGCCTTCTTTCTAGTTCATTTTGAGTCTTCTCTTTCGCCCACTTTCCTCCACTTCTCCTACCCCCTCCTTTTCTTTACGATAGACACGCCTTCAAGGTCCTCTGCTGGTCTTTTACTTCTTTCTTCCTTGCTATAGTTCTACATAGCTTAATGCAACACACTGTAGTGTATATGACAAATGCCTCTGCAAGTATCAAAACCTCAAACAGGTCATGAGCTCCGGGCCCATTACTAACATGAGCTCGCCATCGCCTCAAGGCGTTGGTGTCTTGGGATGGTGAACCCCTGTGTGGTCTTAAGAGGCTGCACATACAAAACAATCGATGTGGTTCACACATGCTTTGATATTGTTGGCTTTTCCGGTTCTGGATTGATTTTACATTACTTTTGTGTTCATTAAGGATGAGAAGCAAGACCTCTCAAATGACTTGCCGAGGCTTTTGAAATCTTGGATCTCAAAGAAAGCTCGTCCACTTCCATTCGAGGAGATATGGTAGCCAATAATCTAGTCTGCTTTTACTAGAATAACTGCCACCTTCCTTATCTCATAAATTGTAACTTTGTCCTTAGAGGTGAATCATTTCTACTAGTGATATCCTAGCCTCGTGACGTATATTCTTTGTAAAGGCGATCGAATGTTGTTTGTGTGAGACGAGAGAAAGTTACCGACTGTTGTTTTTAGAGCCAATATCATAGGGGTTCAAGTTTTCACCACTGGCAACTTCAACATATCTGAGTTCCTAACTTCGTATCTCAATATTGCTATTTTTGCCGGGATGCAGGTGCTGGCGCTAAGATGTCCGCCCAAAGAAGAAACTAACATCAAAGCCGTACCATACATCTTCTTCAAATTCTACCTGAAGTCTTAAGTCTCTTGCCTAGATCAGATTGAAATTCGAAGCGAGTTGGACGGATCAAAAAGGAGAAAGCACAGGGACTGTGTTCTAAAAGACATCTCGACAGGCCCTGGTGGAGATGCTTACTTCAATGGATTTAGGGCATAGAGAGTGATATATTTTATTGATGAACAGGTAATGTGTAGTATTCAGCTGTTATAAGACCGTAACAAATTCCAATCGTCATTAAGGAGGGATTACTTCGAAGAAAAATGTCAAAGCAAAGCATTTAGAATCGCTTGCACATATAGCAGTAAATACAAATTTTCTCGTTCTTGTTATTTGTTTAATCTTGCGGTGTTTAGTTTTACTCTTAGATCTTAGGTGTTAGTTCACCGCAGTCCTCATCGTTTCAACGTCGACCATGCAGTAACTGCACTATCTCAAATGCCCTCTTTGTCGAGTTTACGCCTGAGTGGGGCAGAAATCAGATTCAGCCGCTCACGCTAATGCAGCCCCAGCGCTTGCAAAAGGGAAAAAAAAAAAATAAAGGGGCCATTTGAGACCGCCCAACCAGGACCTACACCTCTGCTGTGGCAGTGCTTGTATGATTCGCTAGGGTGGAGTTTCGAGGTTCACATGATGGCTTGCCACTACGAGGTAAATAAAGGGACCGCTCGGCCCAGTAACCCCTCCGAGCGATAACGTCAATATCGTACTTACCTATCCTCTTTGGTTGGGTTCAATGAAACTAAAATTGCGATATCACCGCTTGGTCGATAGGCTGAAGAAGCCTAAGCGATCCAGCAAGAAACCAGAAAGACCACAACATGAAAGTTCACCACCGCAATCAAGCCCAGTCGCGGCGCCATCTTCAATACCCAAGATATATGATCCCTGGATCGAAAGCGAGGAACTCTTGCGAAAAGACCCGGAAACTAAGAAACTCCTCGAAAATGCGACGGAGATTCTGCGAAGCAATGGGCTGAGCTTTGGCTCAAGTACAGCGCAGAATCATCAACAACTTTGCAGCTTTTTGGAGGACGGGGCCCAGAAATTGGACGAAAGCAAATGGAGGATTGGTGACAGCCAAACTCCCTTAGAGAGACACCTTACCCCGGTATTCAAAAATGTTTTGATGGTGAAAGACCTTATCAATGCAGCAGCGGCGTCATCGCCGCCCGCTGCAATTGCTTGTGCGTCATTGACAGTAGTCTTCACTGTAAGTCTTCACTCCTGGTATTGATCACCGGACAGTTCACTAACCTAAGTTAGCTTTTCATTCAATCCATGGAACAGCAAGACAGCCTCATACACGGGCTCAGCCGAACCGCCGCATTGATACCCCGGGTCCATGTAATGCAGGATCTTTACTTGCACTCCCAATCGACTGAAAGGCTGACCGAAGGTTTCATGACAAAGTTCCAGGGGACTTTGACTTCGCTATGCAGCAAGCTATTGGAATTCAATGCCAGAGCCCTGCTACATTTTGAGAAAAGTTCATTGGTCCAATTTTCCAGAGGTGCGGTCAAGAAGGATCCGTGGACTGCTCTCGTTCAAGACATGAAAGACCTCGAAGTCGAATCACACCGCTTCACAACTCTTCTCGACGCAGCAAACAGGAAATCCGAAAGTCTGGAATGGCAAAAGAGATACGAAAAGCTTGAAAATGATATCATGGCGTACAGCGTCTGGCAAAAGGACACGGTTCGGGATAAGAAAGTGATAGAATTCCTTCGAATGCTCTACACCTGTCCATATCGAGACCGAAAAGATAGAAATCGTGATCGTGTCCCTGGAACATGTGAATGGTTTGTCCGTCATCAACGTTTCCAAGAATGGAACCAGAACCAAAATTCTCGTCTCCTGTGGGTTTCAGCCGACCCAGGATGCGGCAAGTCGGTTCTTGCCAGATACTTAGTCAACGAAGTGCTTCCAAGGCCTAGTGGAAGGACAATATGCTATTTCTTCTTCAAGGATGACTTTGATGACCAAAACAATGTGACAAGTGCACTTTCAAGTCTGATACGGCAGCTTTTCATAGCCCTGCCCTCTTTGTTATCAAATTCCATACTGGAAAAGGCGGACACAGATGGCGACCAATTAATTGGCTCGTTTTCGGATCTGTGGACTATACTCACGACTGTCACGAGTGACCCACGAGCGGGCGAGGTCGTGGTTGTATTTGATGCCTTGGACGAATGTCGTGACGCCGACCGAAGTGAGCTCATCGAAAAAGTGACAGATCTTTATCTGCACCCCGAAAACACCCGGAGCCTGAAGATTTTGCTAACGAGCCGACCATATGGCCATATTCAAAGTGGCTTCCGAAAGATTGAAAGAGCATGGCCAACAATCCATCTGAGTGGAGAGGTTGGAGAGCCAGCCGAACAAATTGCCGAAGAAATCAATCTGGTAGTCGATGATGCTATCGAGAAAATCACAGAAGCGAAAGACCTTGATGATGATGATCATGACTTTCTGCAAGAAGAACTGGCAAAAATCTCAAATCGCACTTATCTCTGGGTTACGTTGACCTTGGAGTATATAAAAACAACTCCTTTCAGACGGGGAAATGTTCGCCGAGCCTTGGGTGAAGATATCCCTGCATCGGTAAACGACGCCTACGAGAAGATGCTGGATCGAAGCTTAGACCACAAACGAGCCAGAATCGTCCTCCACGTTGTTTTGGGTGCGAGAAAACCGCTCTCATTGGAGGAAGTTTCGGTCGCCCTAGCCCTACAAAGCACCCATGAATGCGAAGATGATGTTAAAGAGGAAATGGAACCAGAGAACACATTTAGGAGCACTTTACGAGACCTCTGTGGCTTGTTGTTGTGGATTAATGATGACAAAGTCTATCTTCTGCATCAGACTGTGAAAGAATTCCTGGTACCGCGTGATGTGGTCGACTCAAATGGACCTACCTGGCAAGATTCCTTCCCAGCAACTGGGTCTCACAAGATTTTGGCGAAGAGATGTATTTGGTTCTTCCAGTTTCATACACTGGACCCAAGATTGACCGCTTTTGCTGGCTATGCGTCGGACTATTGGGAATATCATTTTCGTGAGTCATGTTTCGACAAAACCGAAGATGCTACAATGCTAGCGTTGATTCTTTGTGACCCAAACTCAGAGCCAAATCGAATATGGCAACAGCATGACGGGAAGCGCTTCAAATCGAGGCGCAGCTTCAAGCGCTACATTGGCTTCAAGCGCGATCGCAACACAAATCTACGCATCGATCGCGTTGACTTCCCGTATGGTACCCCGCCCTTTATTCTGGCATCTAGACTTGGGCTTCAAGCTGTTGTTGAAAAATTGCTAGAGTCGCAGCTACACGAGTGCGATACCCGGGAGAAGAAATTTTACAGAACGCCACTTTCTAATGCAGCGCAAGCTGGCCACGAGAATGTGGTGAAGTTGCTTCTTGATACCCGCAAAGTTGACGTGGATTCTCGAGATGCGAAGCAACGAACGCCATTTTCATATGCTGCAGCGCGAGGCCACGAGGGGGTGGTACATCTGCTTCTTGATACCGGAGGCGTTGACGTGAATTCTCAAGATGTGAAGCAACGGACACCACTCTCATACGCCGCATGGCTGGGCCAGGAAAGGGTAGTCCAGCTGCTCCTTCATATCAAGGAAACTAAAGTCGATTCTCCAGACAGCAAACAACGAACACCACTTTCATACGCTGTGGCGCGGGGTCACGAGAGAGTAGTAAAGCTGCTTCTCGATACTGGGCAGGTTTACGTTGATTCTCAAGATGATACACAACGGACACCACTCTCGTACGCTGCAGTGCGAGGCAATGACAGGGTGGTACAGCTACTCCTGGATACCGGACAGGTTGATGTGAATTCCCAAGATGCTAGACACCAAACACCACTCTCATATGCTATACAGGAGGGGGATAAAAAGGTGATACAACTGCTTCAATTGTATAGGAACAGTGCTAAGAGCTGACCAAGATCACACTACACGTTCTAGTATAGAAGATAGTTAGGTGCGATAGCCAATTCAAATCAGCACGTATACTCATTCATTGTATCTAAACCCGTTCCACAGCTCGGGCTGAAAGCTAGAGTGATACCTCAAGCGTGAGGCACCCCAAGAAGACCCTTTTAGTTATTAGAAAACAGTCAATGAATTCTTGAGGCACTGCCATGCGATTTGACATCAAGGGGAGAAACTTCACAATCTATAAAAAGGGGTATTAAGTTGAAAGAGCAAGAATATGCTACATTGAATAAATTTGTGGCATTTTTCTACAGTCTTGCTCTCGTCAAGTCACGTCGATACATACATGTCTATCTGATTTGCTATTAAATGCCCACCTGAACGGTGTTCTCTCGTGGGCGGTCTTGATGCTGAATGGAGAGGCGACCCAGCGAGCTGCTTAGGTAAGGGAGCGAATAATGTTATGTAATCAAGAGGTATGGCCACCTGCGAGGGTGTAAACACCATACATTGTTCGCACACCAGCTTTCTGTCATGGTTCTTCAATGTGTGACAACAATACAATAGATGACCGATGTTGAAAACTCTAAAATGACCAAACCCGCTATTTCAACAATCTGTGCGGACATAGATGACTAACTGTAATATACACTTTTACTTTTGTAAGGTATGTCTGGTACCCAATGTCACATGATTTTCCGTGGTGTAATACCCGGTTTTACCGTGTATTCAGACTTAGTATTCGACAAACCAGCTTAATTCTGCGACTGAGGACACCTCGAGAAATACTCCCATGGCAATGTACATCCAAATATTATAGGGCTCTCTCCCCGTTCAAGGAGAACAGGGCGTTCGCTCCATCACTTGCACCCACATATTTGAAATCGCGAAAAGCCCAAGGTAGTTTGTCGCGTTCCATGGACGCGTCGGATTGATAAGCGCCATGTCGAAATTGCGTAAAAGCTATGTCCAGACGGCATTCCGTTAGCGTGTCTAGAAAAAAGAAGACGAAAGCCGGCATGCGGATCTGTTTCTACTCACCTCGAATACCGTTTTTGCGGTCTCGATTTGGGCCACTACCTTCCCCAAACACTGGAATTTACCATAACCAAATATGAGGTCATTCGTCCGAACCATGGCGGCCAACCTGGTAGCGTCCGACTCAAGCCACCGCTCGGGTCGGAAAACATGTGCGTCCTTGCCATAGATCTTCTCGCTCTTGTGCATAGCGCATGCCGAGTATCCGATGCTGGTGGCACCCGGCAAGAATACGCTCTCGCCATCGACGACCACAGTGTCGCCACTTGCCGGGACATCGCGCGAGAAGATGTTCGTAGCAGGTGGCCAGAGACGCAGACCTTCGCGGATTACGGCCTGGAGGTAAGGAAGACTTTTAGCCTGAGCGGCGGTAACAAGGCCTTCGCCCATGCTCGGAGCAAGGCCGCGATGCACAGCATCGTCGATTTCTCGCTGTAGCTTGAAGTAGACGCGGGGATTCGTCATTATGTGCAGGAGGGTGCCACGGATGGCGCTAGAAGTGGTTTCGGAGCCCGCAAGGATTTGCTCTAGTGCCTCAGTCCGCAGCTCGTCGCCTGTTAAGCCGTGGCGCATGAAGGAGGCTAGCATATCGGATTTTTCATCTGCGGAGTTCGCAGCGCGCTCATCGACAAGCCGGAAGCATACGGCCATCATCCTACCGAAGCCATTGTTATCCCTGGCCGAAGGTGCAAAGAATCTACCAATAAAGGGCATCTGGGTGATCCAGGTGAAGCCCATACCAAGGGCGGTATTGCCGATAGCAAGTCCCTCCTCATTCGATTGGAGGTAGTCGTCCACGTCACGGTCACTTTGCAACATACCGAACGCCTTACCGAGGCCGACGCCGCTAATAATGTCGAGTGAAAGAAATTGAGTCTTCTTCGCTAGGTCCATGGGTACAACATGGCGCTCGGACGAGATATATTTGGATCGGATGAGGTTCAGGAAATCTTGGACTTGTTCATCCACAGACCCCTCGAACTGGGTATTCTCCCTCCCCGAATACTTTATAACCATCTTCGGTCAGCAATGCCAATGACTGGGTGGGAGGGAGTCGGTGAAAAATATGAGTCAAGTATCATACCCCTGGAGCCATTTGTTTCCTCCGTTTCTCATGTTTCGCGTTATCAGTCTGACTGAAGACGTTGTCCTTCCGATACTCGATTCGTGTGGCTCTGTAGTACCAATCAGAGCGCTTGTAGCCAGGCTTATTGTTTACGTGCATCCAAACTTCGGGAGAGGAAGTGATCAGCACTCGAGGCGCAACACGGGCGATCGGACCTGTATCGAGTCAAGATGTTAGCTATATTAAATACGGCACCCTGGTAGAGATTGCGTAGAAGATGCCTCCTACCATATTTATTGCTGACTTCTGCATACCACTCGTGGCAATTGCCTCCAAGAATCGCTATGCTATGAGGCCAATTCGAAATGCCGGTCCATGAAGGACCCCGAAACTGCACCAACTTGGCATAATTCGTGATAACCCTGAAGATATAGAGGCTCAAGAGACCGCAGAGAAGCATCACAGCCTGACCAGATAAGGCAGCTACACCCATGGTGGAAGAAAGAACCGCACGAAGTTGGCCAAAATGGACTTTTTGGAGGTGTTCGCAGGCCTTGCTATGTATTACTGAACTATTAGAAGTGAAAACGCGCGACACTTTCGTTGATGTCACGAGGGAGGGGTTGGGTTACATCTACACGGCAGGACTTCCCCACACCACCTTGGCATACCCTTTCTATTCTACATAAGTACTGATTTTGAATATCTTACTTGGTAGGGTGAATGTATCAATAAAGACAGAGGCTATGCTATGTAGATAATGCGTGTATAGAGAGCAGACAGTCTATATTTCTAAATATTTAATAATAAAGTGCATATAAAAAGAAAAGATGGGTGATAGGTCAGAGATAGGAGCAAACTGTTTATCTGCTGATCCTATTAAACATGGTGGCCCGATGTCACCGACAAATTAGTGATAGCGGGGGAAAAAGAGAAGAAACGAAACGAAAAAAAGGGAGGGAAAGAACAGATCCAGACGACCCTGTGAAGACAATCAAAGAAGCGAAGAATATATCAAGGGAAAGAAAACACTTCTATCGAAGCTGCATAGTAAAAGATTATCAGACTGAAGGACCAGAGGCTGTATCGACAGCCTCCTTAGGCAGATGTCTTCTTCCCCTTTGGCACGCGGGCAAGCCAATAGATAAACACCGCGCCGAAAATATTGGCTATGATGTACACCCACATCAGACCAAAGTTGCGCCAAGCATCAGCGAAATCGCTGGAGATTCGCAAGAGGTACGAATTCGTTTTGCTGACCGTGCAAAACGCACACTCGGCAGTAGCCATGGGATCTTGCAGATACCCAGTCCCGGCCATTTTGATGTAAGGGCCCATATAGTCCCCGCAAGTTTGGTTAGCTGGGGGTGAGAACTTCAAGAACTCGACTGCCTCACATACTGCATCAGCGCCCGAAACACCAGTCGATAACATTGCTGAGACCAAGTAGGTGAACGGCGAAACGCGATACATGAAGATCCAAAAGCCAGGCAAGGCCTCCTTGGTTGAGAGAACACCGCAGAAGATCAAGCAGAGGGAGAACAATAATGTCGCAATGTTGCCACCAGTCTCGGCCAGCTCAATTCCCGCAATGACCATGTGTGCGAAGGTTGAGGTGAATAACAAGAATGTCCAGATCAATAGGAACATGAGGGCGCCTCGTTCGCTCACGGCGTCGGTGGGCTCTGCATTTCTGTACAATCCAATTGGATAATACCAGCATAAATAGATGAACAAAGACATGAGTGTATTCCAGGGCAACTCCACCAGAATGTTCGCGATCATAAACGCCTGCCAACTATATGTCTTAGATGGGCGCTCTCGCACCTCGTAAAGAGAGCGCTGGGTAACAAAGTGTGGCATGATCTGCTGGACCAGATTTCCAAAAATTGTCATCAACATGAAAACACTGAACATCTGGTTCTGAAGGCCTTGGATGGAATTCTGGGCGTGGAAAAATGAGAATCCAATGTAGAGTGCGGTGAAGATGCAAAGGGCAGCTTTGGACCAGATGTAAGTCGGGGTGCGGAAGTACTGCGCAAAGACACGTAGGAGACACTCCCACAGTTGGACGTAGAAAGGCGCGGCGAATTCACGGAATGCGTTAGGCGAAGTATCAATGTCTGCCTTCGAAGATAGGGTGGACTTCAGCTCGGAGAGATGCTCCTTGACCTTCCCATATTCAGGACTCTCCCGCCATACCTTTGGCCACTCAATCTCGCTGTGTGTACCGGGAGCTGCACCAATAACGTCCAACATCCATTCAGCGGGATTCTCTCCGGGTGTCAGATGGTGGGCGCCGTTGCGTTGGAAATAGTTCGATAAAGTGGATGAATTCTCGCCAATTTCGCCAAAGTAGATCGTCCTACCTCCTCTAGCCAAGAAGAGAAGACGGTCGAAACGCTGGAACAACATGGCTGAAGGTTGATGGATAGTGCAGAGAATTGCTTGTCCGTGCTTAGTGAGCGTGTCGATGAGATTGAGAATGGACCAAGAAGTCTGAGAATCGAGGCCACTGGTAGGTTCATCAAGGAAGAGTAGGAGTTGGGGCTTCGCAGCAAGTTCAACACCGATCGTCAATCTCTTACGTTGTTCAACATTCAACCCCTCGCCTGGAACACCAACAACGGCGTCAGCGTACGCATCCATGCCAAGGAGCTTGATGACCTCGTCGGCATAGTCGATCTTTTCTTGCCGACTGACCGTCGCGGGTTGACGTAGGAGGGCACTAAACACTAGAGCTTCCCGAACTGTCGAGGTAGATAAGTGCAAGTCTTGCTGTTGGACATATCCAGTCTTTCGCTGGAAGGACTGATCCGTAGGGTGTCCATCGACGAGCATTTCACCAGTGACAACACCCATAGTAACTCGGGTTGCGAGCACGTCAAGCAGAGTCGTTTTTCCAGCTCCAGAGACACCCATCAATGCGGTACAGGTGCCAGGTTTCACCCAACCATCAACATTGTCCAAGATCCTTCTGGGTTCGCCTTTGATTTTGATGTCGTAACACACATCTTGCCAGTGGAATATCGCAGTTTGTCGCTGAATGGAGGTTGGTTGGTGAGGGGACTCTTCTGTCTTGGCGAGTGCAGAGGGTTGGGAAGATGTCTCTAGATCACCCTCTCCGGAGGCAAGAGTTGGCTGATGACCACGGCGGAATAGAAGCACCTCGCCTTTGGACCTTTTCTCGGAGATGTACTCAGTGCCAAGAAGATAAGTGAACATGAAGAATAACAGGAAGGCAATGAGAATTCCAAAGTTCCTCCACAAATGTCCCTTAATATACCCGAAGCTCTGCTCGAGGTACAACGATCCAGACACACTGGTGGAACCTGACTGAGCACCGACAGTTGAGCAGATTCGATGATCCATTGAGATACTATTATATGCACCGCCAGCAGGAACGATAGCAGCACATGGGAAATGACGACCTTGGAATTCATTGACCATGAAACTTTCAAACGCGTAAGCAACGGGATTAATATAGTTCATCCAGCGAGACCACCCGAGCATATTGCGAGTAGGGATGACGAATCCTGTATAGATCACCATACCCAAGATCAAAATGGCGGCTGGGACCAAGGCCTGCGAAAGGGAGCGGGAAGATGCCGCAATGGTTCTGAAAATCATTGACATGGTGAACGTCGTTATGAGCGAGAAAAGCCAAAAGGTAAAGAAAGGGCCAGCCTCACGACGTAGATCGGTCATAAAATACAATGGTATGTTGAAGGTAAATGAGTTGATCACTTTGTAGGGTGTATCACAGAGCATCGACGCAAGCGCCTCTGCGAAAGGGTGGTAGAAGGCGTATCGGGCTTGCTTTTCAACAATTGGTCGTTGGGCGTAGAGGGTGAGGATTTCCAGTGCACTGGAGAAAGCATTCAAGAGGACGGCAAAGAACAGAAGAGCTCCCCGAGAGTAGAAGCTGGAGGTATCCTTAGGAAGGTTCACAAAGACAGAACCAATGATCAAAGACATGATGAAGTTTCCAATTAGAGCGGTTGCTGTTAAGCTGTAATCTCCACGAAGGCGTTGAAAGCCTCGAGTCACACAGAGGGAAATCTGTTTCCATATCGAGATGGTGTACGGCGATTTGACCCTCTGGTGCTTGCTCTGGATGGTCTTGCGCGCATCCACAAATGCATCGTAGGAGCTACCGTTAATGGGGTAATTTCTCTCATACTCCTCGATTTCACTAACAAGCTTGGTACGGACGGCGCTTCTCTTCCATGCTGCCGCAAAGTCATCGGGGGTGATAGGAACACGGCCTTCAAACCCTTTTCGAACCACACGCTCCGAAGCGCTAGTGATCGATGTTAAGAAGTCTGCCGTGGTTTGACGCTCTGGGCACTCATAGCCCATATCTTCAAAGTATTTCCTAGCCTCGGTCGTGAGCCCGAAGAAGATCTGCCTTCCTTCATAAAGTACGGTCACTTTGTCAAAGACATCATAAGCACTCTGTGACGCTTGGTAGATGGCGACACAAGCTGTTGTTCCAGAGTATTTGCTCATAAGAGCCAGGTTTTTGCAAAATTCAAGTGCATTGGCGCTATCCAGGCCTCTCGTGCTGTTGTCCCAGCACTGCAAGGGACTCTGACTGAGAGTGGCCTCCGCAATACTAACGCGTTTCCTCTCACCACCACTGACTCCGCGAATGAAGTCATTACCAACCCTGGTGTTGATCGTATGGGAAAGGCCAAGCATAGCCATAACCACGTCTCTCATGTGTTGGGCGTATTGCTCGTTGCTTACCCCCTCGAGGCGATTTCGGGGGGCTCTAGCCATCGCCGCGAACATGAGGGTATCGCCGACGGAGAGTTGGGGGAAGTGGACATCAGTCTCTGCTGCGTAGATTGCCTCGCCTTTGAAGGCATTTTGCATGTCCTTTGCAGGGATACCTGGATTTATTAGTATGTGCCAAACCCTCTCCAACAACCGAAGTGATATGGAATGGTGTAGCGAGAGACTTACCCTGATAGTTGAGAACCGAGTCCTCTGACACTTCAATGCCATTCATTTCGCCGGCAATGGTTTTGAGTAAAGTTGAGCAACCGCTACCTGGTTTTCCCAAGACCACCAATGTTTCTCCGCTTTTGACGAGACCATCAAAGTCACGAAGAATTTGAATTTTCTGGAGTTTCAGGCCGGCCAGTCGGCGTACCATAGTTCCAAGCTCCAGTACCGAGTTCAGGACATCTTTCTGATAATCAGTGGGAGAACCAAATCCATGGACGTTCAAATTCTTGAACGAAATACCAGCGGTCCGATCTGGGTACTTGTCGGGGTTTCGAGACCGGATTGCCAGCAACATCTTCATCCAGTCCCGTACTTTGAAGTTGGGACTATTGGGATTGAGCGAAGATTCGGAGTCTCCATTAGTAAAAGGATTGTCCAATGCACCGCTCACTGAGACTCGAGTGGATTGCCGGGTGAGTTGTCGTGCTAGCCGACCAACCAGCGCCTCTCTGTGTTCTTCGTCCTCCTGTTCGGTGTCTTCATCGTCATTTTTCTCTGGATCGTGGATCATGTCGAGATCATGTTCGCTCGGGATTTGCGTGGTATTGTGACTAACCACGGACTGGGAGCGAGCAAGATTTGGGTTGAGTGTCCCCAAGAGCGACATCTTGGTTTCAGTACCAACCTTTCAAACCCTGGGTGCTCGCGTGAAAAGAAACAGGATTAAATAAAACAACAACAACAACAACAATAATAATAATAATAATACAAAAAAACTCAAAGTTTAGATTGAAAGGAGGCTAGTCGAGAACAGCAAACCACAAGCAGTCTGGGAGCTCAACATATATAAGTTTATCTCTAAATCCAAATATAAATACCCAAAAGCAAGAAACAAAACTCCGATTAGTATTCCGGCAGATCCGGCCATGTTAGGGGTAATCATATTTTGTGAATAGCTGAATAGCTGCGATATAAGAACCTCCGGAGTGCCGATATAGGGTTGCTAGATAATTAACTCCGATAACCAGGAATGTATCCCGTTAGGGTTTGTTCTGCTACTTCCGGAACCCGAAACGGGGCTTATTTACTAGGTATATTACCCCATTTTTCTTTTCCCAAACGAGAAGACTCTAGAAGTCTAAATGGGCGAGTCGAAAAGTTAAAAGTGACCATCGGGTTAGGGCCCGGGTCTTGGCATATAGTATCGATACGGCTCAATACACGGTATTTACCGATTAAAGAACATCCGGCATCCGATCCTCTCTAAATCTATGCCAAGACCACATCTAAACAGCCCTGAAGGTACACCGAGGATGGAAAATAATCATTGGTCAGAGTCTACCCAAGACACGTTGTCTTGTCTAAAATAGATTCCAAAGACCATATATGTGATTATGACTCATATTTGGTGGGAATACATACATGGTACATGGTAGTACTATATGTACTAATGGAGGACCCTATCGGGGTATCGGAGCCAAGTGATCCCGAATTTACTTTTGACTCCCGTCCCGACAAGGGTCAGATCCCCACTTATCTGTTCCAGGTCATGATTTGCAACTTGCCATCTTATGCAGTTATCTAGTTATCCGATCACCTTTTTTCCCTCTCTGGTGCCTCGGATGGAGAATCTCCCTTTATGCGTACCAACTGTGGATGTTTTATTTTTTTTGTTTTTGAATACGCAGGGTTTCAAAGATCTCTTTGCTTCAATCTCAGGAAACATCTAATCTAATTATTGTGACTTCTGAACATCCAAGATGAATGGAGTGCTCAATAACCAAGCCCGCGGCGACTCTGCGTTGCGCCAACATTCATCCCAACTGTCAAGGCCAGAAAACGGACATACGAGAAAAAGACAGCGAAAGAGAAAAGTGGGACTCCACAGATACAAAGCAAGTCATGTACTAAAAATTTCATTAGGCATGCGACACTTGTCGACACAGAAAAATAAAATGCGAGGTTACCACCAAGTCCAAATGCTCGTTCTGCAGCAAAGCCAACATTCCTTGTTCTCTGGTTGATCATAGGCGGCAAAGGCAGTTGAAGAAGTACGACACCATAGCCGATATTATAACGTGTCATAACTAATCACAATCGCACAGCCAGAATATGGTCGATCGCCTGGAGAGAAACATCCAGCGTATGGAAGCTCATTTTCAAAAAATAGGATTTGACCTGGGTGAAGATTTGAACGGGTCGTCCTTTTTCGACGGGCTTCGCCAGTCAGATGACTCCTCCTCGTCGAGTCCAGCTGAAAATGCAGATTTCATAACAGATACGGGTATTTGGGATTCAGAAGCAATACGCCTGGACGCTGACCAAAACCTCCCTGCTGCTATGCAGAATGTATATCACACCATGGTCGACCCGGTCTCAGCTGAAGTCGACCCAGTAATACCGAAGGATCTGCCGTGCTTCTACGTTCCAAGGTGTTTTACGGATACACCGAATGCCGGTGAGAACCACAGCCGATCTCCTGGATGATAAAGCTGATTTTGATACGTATAGGCTTCTCGGCTCTATCGTCAGAAGGAACGAAATGGATAACTCATAAAATGGAAGGCGCGTCCGTAGACAATTTACAATCCTTCCTTTCACTAGGTCTCTACCAGGGATCGAATCGGGACCCACTTGAGGGTTTATTCCCCGACAAATCTTTCTCCCCATTGCCCCCGAAAGATGAGATATTATCGTTGGTCAATGACTATTTGCAGCAGTATAACTCGCTGTGTCCCATATTTCAACCGTCATCGCTATTGTCACTTTGTGAGGAAAACAACTTACAGGGCCTGTTGAATTTCCCCGGTCGTTGGGCAAGCCTCAATGTTGTTTTAGCGACAGGGTATATGCTGCGCATAAAGAATACCTCTGTTGTACAGACTGACCGCCAGAAGAGCTGGCTTTTCATGAAGAACTCCTTTAGGGTTTTGAATGAGCTCTGCTTTGGGTCGCCAGATCTATGGACCGTCCAGGCACTCATAGGGATGGTAAGACGAATAACTGCTTTGTGAGAAGATGTGACTAACAGTACTTTATCTGTAGATCACCTTTCTGTTGGGGACATTAAGCAGCCATCCTTGTGGGTACTTGATTTCCTCCGTTATGCGACTCTGTCATCTTATTCGACTCGAACGAAGTGAGGATGGGTCTGGATTGTGTCCCGAAGAACTAGAACAACGAAGGCGGGTCTTTTGGATTGCATACTGTCTTGACAAAGAGTAGGAAACTCGATAATGTTGACATCTCAAGCCTATACTAACCTACTGTAGGATATCCCTTCGGGCCGGTATTCCACTAGCCCAACGCGATGATGATATGGATGTCTTATTACCAATGGAAGTTCCACTGGATAACATAGGAACCATGTCAACAACAAACCAAGAAGGTACCTTCAACGCGTTCAGATCCATGTGTGAACTGGCCTTAATCAGGAGCGAAATATATAAACACCTCTACTCGGTCGCAGCAGCAGATCATTCGCTTGTTGAAGTGGCCGCCGCGGTTGCGATGTTGAACCAAAAGCTCCAACAGTGGAAGGATAGTATTCCTGTCGAGTTCCAACCCGAATCAAGAAGACTTTCAGCTTTTCCAAAATCCCCGATAGCCGTGGCCCTTCTTTTTTTGCATTTATCATACTTCAACTGTCTGATCGCTATCCATCGAGTCACCGCAGTCCAGGGTTCAAAGCTAGGTAGGGATCTAATCGAAAGAAACAGTATCTACAATCCACCGAATCCAGTGGTATTCATGTCGGAATCACTGTGCACAAACGCTGCAACGGCGTCGATTAACTTGCTCAAATATATGCCGCAATCTAATATCGCACTCATAGGGTATGTGATGACTCTGATTTGGAGATCAAACAAGTCTGTCCTATTGCTTCCTAGTTCTGTGGCTAACATACGTTAGAATGTTGATCTACTACCCTATTATCGCATCGAAAACACTCTCCTCGAGCATCATTCAGAGTCCACGAGACACCTCGCGTATATATCACATCCGGCTTATCATGCAAGTGGAAACATTTGTGTCATCCATGGTCCTTGATACACCCAATGAAGGGATCGATGGGCTTTTGAAGGATTGTACCGAGTATCGCTCTGTGGCGGAGGCTGCTGTTAGGGAGGCTACACAGATATGTGGGGGTTGATCACAGTGGTAGACCATCTGTCTCTCTTAATAAGGCAGATTCCCGCTTGGATTCGACATGATGTGATCGCGCAAGCGAATGTTGGCTTGTTTCTGCCAACGGTGACTTGTTCTGGCGCGCCTAAAAATGGCATTGCCATTGACTCACAAGTTGAAGAACAAGACGGTGCATAGCTCGGTCAATTTACACGTTCTTCTCAATTTATGTTTATACCCCCTCAATGATACCTAAAGCAAATTTTGGATACAATTTGACTCTGGTCTCTTATCCTCTCAATCTTATCTCGCAGAATCCCAGTCTTTAGGCGCATACTCGTAAAAATATATTCTGCATAGCTAACCTAATTAGGCCATGCATATATTTGGTGTTATTTACAACCTTCCGTGGGTTGCAAATGTGAGCACAATGCTATACTCATACGTAATTGCGAGAAAGTTTTGGGAAACCTGATTCGATCATATAGGACCCGAGTGTGAGAGTGCGTCTTAGCAGTGTTTAAAATATTGTGGTGGGCGAGAGTACCAAGGGTGGTCGACAACATGTTATCAAATAGTAGAAATATAAAACATCCTTCGCCGTCACGAAATATTTATTTTATCATTGGATCTCAAAGCTTTCCCAAGATAATTCAGTGCCAATCAGTGACCGTGCTTTGTCTTGTATCTAAACGACTCGTTTGAATTTATTAATCGTCTTTAGTCTTGAGTTATGGGGATTTTGCGGAAAACAAGAGCCATGGGGGGTCGGGCGCGGTTGACCCCCTTAATCCCGGGTTCATGCGATCTTCTTTGTAGATAGTGTTAAGTATGGGGTTAGGTTGGGTTCGTCTCTAGAAGGTCTAGTATAGGTCGCTTTGTTTGGTGAATATCTTATCTACTAGACCCCCTGAACTTTACATAGATTTTCGACTCGTTCTCACCCGCATCATTACCCATACTACTTACTACAATGACCACCGACAAGGCCCAGTCTATCAGAAAGAGAGGAGGAAAAGAAATGAGGAAAAGAAATGAGGAAAGGAATTACATAGCAGGATCGAATATTTACATGTCTCCCTCTTTGCTGAATCCTACAAATCATACAAATAACTTAACAAGCTAAGAGGCAGAACTAACCGGCACGAACTAGCACTTTTAGATCACACATCGATACCTTTTACCTGAACCTGAATCTCAACTGGCGACTCAATGAGACGGCCAGCCGCATCGTGTGTCGCGTCCCATTCTGAGATCTCAGCGACAGGGACCTTTTTAAGCCGGTTGCTCTGAACACCGTCGTCTAGGCTGATAACTTCCTGTCGCAGTTTGTAGCCCTTCCATTTGGGAATAAGGAAGGCCCAGAAATAGTAATAGGTGCCACAAGCAAGAAGACTAGGCATTTTCGTTAGCAAGAATAGTCTAGTAGGCCAAGTTTGGTTGACTTACATTGCAACTCCCGTCACGGCATACGTTGCATACCAAAAGCTGACATCACCAGCATACTGACCACCACTGGGGGGATACCAGGGCATCACAAGGAGGTAGAGCTGGATGAGAATATTAAAGATGATCACGAAATGCCAGGCCTTGAATTCGGGTTCGGGAAGGTTGGCGTTCTTTCGGCGCCAGCGAACAACGTAGATACCAACACCCATTGCAAGATTAAAGGCAGCAGAAGGGATGGTGCTTAAATCGTTAACTTTTGAGTATTAGCATTGCAAGAACGCCCGGCCGGATTCTGACGGGGAGAGAGTAGAGAAAACGTACTGAAAGTGAAGGCGTCTCCGGCAGGGATGGCTAAGATCATCAACATGGTCAGACCCCAAATGACGAGGTACGGACCTAAGGGCGTGCCGAAGGGCTTAGTCGAGACCCAGAACGTCGTCCAAGGTAGAACTCCTTGTCGGCCGCATTCTCTGATGCGCCGAGATATGCCAATTATCACGGCGATCATGTTACCGAAGGAAGCCAATGCAATGAGGAAGTTGAGGCCACGAACCGCACCGCTGTTACCAAAGACCTTTGTAAAGAACAGACTTGCAATCGTGAGCTTAGAGCTTTCGATCTCATCCTTAGGAACTGTGAAAACATGTGCAATTAGTGCGGTGATCCTATTATAGGATGGGCTGTCATTAACTAACCAGCAGCAAAGAATGCAACGTTTGCGAACATGTATAACACATAAACCACTGTAAGAGCAGTGGTGGCATAGATTTTGAGTGACCTGACGGGATTCTGTCAACGGAAATGTTAGTTTCACCCTGGTGCCACATTTATATTGAACTGCCATACCTTGACCTCGTTGGCAACATTGAAAGCGTTATTGTAACCTCCGTAGGAGAAAGTGATACGGTACAAGGCAGTAGTAAGCCCGTATGCAGAAGCTGTAGAGCTGCCTGACCACGCGTCTTGGAAATTGGCCTTAGGGTTCTTAACTTTAGTGTTGCCACCCAAAACAACAAAGCCAGTGACTATAACAAAGAGAAGGGTGCAAATCTTCACAATTCCAACAGCATTTGAGAACCAATATGCGTATTTCGTGTTAAACACCAGTACTGTAGGTTGTTAATACCCCAATTTCGAACGAAATGATGTGCTGAGAGCAACTTACCCAAGGTAGCAACAGTATAACATGCTACAGCAGTCCCTTTAATCTGCCAGTCGGTGCCCGAGTGCCCGGAGATGGCGATGAGATAGTTGGCCATAACTGTTATAGTTTATTAATTAATGCCCTGGGACAAATAGAGATGCAACCAGTCACCCACCTGTTGCATTGGCAGCTCCAAAAGAAAGAATGACGCTCTGGAACGCAAAGGTAGTTGGAAAGAGCCACTTTGGTTTAGGGTAAGCTTGTTCGAGGAAAACGACTTCTGAACCCGATCGACTGGGGAAGTATGCCGTAAACTCAAGGTACACAGCTCCAGACGTGAGACAAATCTAGGGCAGTGCAAGTATGATTAGTCGATGCCACTTTCCCATCATGAGCAAGACATACCAAGTAACCGAGGGTCCAATAAACAAGAGTAACACCGACCGAGCCCGTACCGGACAGGATAGATGATGCTTTGTCATATTAGCTGGTATTTCTGCATATGCATGGGTTGTGTGGCACTAACGTGTGGAGTAGATACCAGCGCCGATCATCATTGTGATGTTCAGTAAGGTAATTGTGACGGGGCCGACAGAGTATCCCAAGGGCGAGTTGTGCTCAACTGGAGCACCAGATGCATCTTGGTACGTTGTTGTCGCATTATTGCCTCCGGTCTCGCCGATATACTTCCCGCTAACAGTTGCGGTCTGCCCCTGGCCTTCGACCGCAGTGCTGACCGCGGCAGGGGTTTTATTTAAAGATCGCCGCCAAGCCATTGCTGGCAATTGTCAAGAGCTATGAAAATCAAGTAGGTCTGACAAGGCTCTTCGCGAAAAATGAATCAAACAATGCAAGGTGGCGAGTGCCAATGCTCCCGTCGCTTCATAAGATGGTGTATATGCTGGAGAAAAGAAAATAAAAACCGCGCCGCATCGGCCATCTATATATCATGGTACCTAACCGTTTTCCTTTTCTTATCTTAATCTCGGATCTCTTGTCCAATACCACGTTCAGGATTTCAGAAGGCATGCAGGCAACGTTTTGTTTGTGGAGCATGACGATTTCAACATCGGAGGGGCGAATGTTACAACCACAGCAGTGGGCCGACTGGGAGACCGACCATTTACATTCCAGTTTTGAGGGGAAAGGCGTCATGGTAACCAGAAACCCAAAGATAATTCGTCATCTGGTGTCTTGGTCTGTGTCTTGGTCTGTATATAAGATCCTTGTCAAAAGTCCCTAGCCTGTAGCTTTTGTGTACTACAAGTGGGGAAATTATCGCGCGATGATTTGAGCTCCCGAATATCTGCCGGAGTCAAAGGTTTTTTATACCAGTGAATCTGGCGGCCAATTATTACACAATGATCGTGTTTAATTAAAGATCCTTGTTAGTATAACTGCACCGATGGGAGATTTTCTGCGGTAAGATTTGCATGGCAAGATATAACAACTCCAAGTTGTACCATTTGTTCGAACGAGTGTAGATCTGGCACGTAATAGCCAGCTAAATGGCGAAAACAAGAAGCGTGGCTGAAGATGGTGACAGGGGTAGATGCGCCAAGTTGGGTTGGCTACAGCCATGCCATTTCGCGCAATGATGGTGTTATTGTAAAATGCGGGGGCTTGTTTTGCTATTTATCACGCCATGTATTGTTGGGATGAGTGTGAGCGACGTCTGGAAGGGATGTTAGATGGCCTCAGGCCCCATTCGGAGCTAAGCACCCCATGGGACAGTCTGTACTCCGTACGGAGTAGTCAGGTACATCTTCTCCCACCTCTCTCTGTACACTTCGCTTTCTGGGAATCATACACACTTCCCTCCTCTCTCCATAGAGATCATGATCATTTGTGTAGTGATCCCTAGAAAAGATCGATGGACCCTGAGGCGGATGATTAAGCGTGGAGTTGAACGATCTCAGCTATCTCGAAAGGAGGATTCGGCATACACCAAGGCCGGAATTAACCTGGAACAGACTTCAAAGTCTTAGATTTCCAATGTTGACACTCGAAAGGATAAAGGATCCGAAGGTGGATGATGGGAACCGAGCGGGGATTCCCGACCCTACACGGGCCACTTCGAGTCTTCTGCCTGAGGCAAACAGGTGCAATTGACCTTACTCATTCTTGTCCTCTCCTTGCTTCATATGCCCCTTAACCGTGGCTATCGAAGGTGACAATGAATCAACGGACATAATTGACAACTGTGTGATTTGGAGTCTTTACAATGATAATTATGATAGTCTCGACTTAATCAACCGCATTTCTAGAGCCAAGAACGTGAGCGATACGTTTTTTGTCTAAATTATGGCGTGATGAAATTTCTGAGTGCGCCAAAACGATAAAATAACTCACTAAGCTCATTCATTCTTCCGCTACAAGTGCTTTGTTGTACTTATTCAAAGACTGGAGTCGACCGTGCGCGCCTCTTTCGATCGCCGCTAAGAAACAAGCTACACGCAGGTATGGATTTGGCCTTCAAGATTGAGCCTACGGCCAAGGAGAGTCCACCTAAGAACGAGAAAGCTATCGAGACCAAATATGCCGATGAAACTTTGCGCATCCTTGAGCTTCATGGAGACTCTGTTGGTCCACTGACGACCGAGAAGGAGAAAAAGCTGAGACGCAAATTGTACTGGCGTATTTTCGGGCTACTCTCCGCTATCAACCTACTGCTCTTTGTGAGCTCATTGTTCGACCTTTCATTTACAACCTCTAACTTCTCTAGATCGACAAATCCACTCTGGGATACGCCGCTATTCTCGGCCTGTTCGAAGAGACCGGTATCACCAAGGCCCAATACAACAATCTTGGAACTTTCTTCTACGTCGGTACGTGACAGTCTTGTGGCTCCGATTATATATTCTCTAACACCCTTGTAGGTTACATTATTGCACAATGGCCGGGACACTATGCTATGCAGAAACTACCATTTGGAAAATTTGTAGCCGCTCTTGTCTTCATGTGGGGTGTCATCCTACTACTTCACTGCGTTGCCACAACATATGGCGCTCTTGTGGTTCTGCGACTGGCGCTTGGTGCCGCTGAATCAGTCGTTGTACCCGCAATGGAAGTCACAATCGGAATGTTCTTTAACCGTTACGAACAGTCGTTCCTCCAGCCCTGGCTTTGGTTGACGTCAGCAGCCGCTCCTATATGTGCCGCATTTATCTCCTACGGGCTGCTTTGGAGCCATAGTTCCATTCTACCCTGGAAGCTGTTCATGATTATTACCGGAGCTGTCTCGGTACTTCTTTCTATTCTTGTTTGGTTCCAGTATCCGAACAACCCAGCCGAGGCTAGGTTCCTGTCACTGGAGGAGAAAATCCACACCATCAGACGAGTACACGAGTCAAGTCAAAGCTCCATTGAACAAAAGCAATTTAAGAAGAGCCAGTTTATAGAGACGCTGCGCGACCCCGTTTCATGGTTATTTACTCTGCAGTCCTTCACCCTCATGATGTCTAATAATCTCACCTACGGACAACAAAACCTCATCACTAAGGCGCTTGGAGTGGACAGTCTGGGCTCGACTCTCGTGGCTGCAGCAGGCGGTGGTTTCGGTGTTCTGGTTTGTATTACAGGAGCCTACGCCCTACGGTGGTGGCCTTCAAACCTTGCACTCCACGGACTCTTCTGGTGTGTCCCTGCGATTGCAGGTGGAATTGGCATGGTTGCTATCGATTGGGACCAGAAGCTAGGGATGCTTGCCTGTTTGCTGCTCGCTGGCCACACCTATGGTAATACCTACATTATCGCGTTGGGTTGGACTACATCATCTGCGGCTGGATACACGAAGAAGCTGACCCGAAATGTTATGTTTATGGTTGGGTATTCCATTGCAAACATTTGCTCACCACAGATCTGGGTTCCTAAGGACGCACCTCGCTACTACGGTGCCTGGATCTCTATGATAGTGGTCAGCTGGGCGGGGACACCATTCATCCTTTTCATTATACGGTTCTTGTTGAAACGCAGGAACGATGCGCGGAAGGCTTGGGCTGCATCCTTGACCAGCGAAGAGAGAAGGGCTCACGAATTTGGAGTAGTTGAGGAGCTTGATGAAAGTGGGAATGTGATACGCAGGCAAGTTGAAATTGCCATGTTGGATATGACTGATATGGAGAACCCGTTCTTCATCTATCCTATCTGAAGTGTTTGGAAACTGGCGTCATCCAACACCAGATATCCGCAAAAAATTATCGTTCTAGAAAATAGATACACGTCAGCGTTGCTCTGAGAATGTCGAAGTATACATTTTTTCGAACAACATGTTATTCCAAGTAGACTTCCCACTGAGATGGATCGAGACCATATGAACGGCCCAATCGTCGCCACGCCACCGTACTACTACGATGTTAACAACATCACCGAGGGCCGAGTTCCTTTCCAACAAGAGGACGATATCAACCCATTTGAGTATCGACTCGGGGTAGATACAATGCACAAAATCTTTGGTTTTCCAATTGTGAAAGAGCCTGATAATGGAACAACTCCTCAGGCCGTAGGTCTTCAAACGTTAGGCTCTATGGTCACATAACAAGGTCGATTCCTAGCCTGTGCGAACACTCTTCGACACAAAACCCGACCTTTCTCGTTGGAAGACGCCACCCGCCCTGGGAATCAGAGATATGTCACCCTCTTTCTAGTTGACCCCCATTACTGGATCTGCTCAACTGCACAACGGCATGAATGGTGGAGAGAGTCAGCCCAAACCAACATGAGACCGTTGTGGAAAGTGCTAGAAGAGCTGTCAGATATTATAATGGATAGAACTGAAGCCTGGCCAATCGGCATAGCTGAGACAGAGAGATGGAAAAAAAATCGGAAAAAGAGCGTGGACGCGCCAAGGAGATGTAAACTCGATCAGTCCAGTACCATGATTTGCGGCTCCTATATTTTTTCGGCGGAGAAGACATAGTAATTAGACCGTCGAACTAGTTGGCTATTTTTGTTGTTATCAATAAATATGTTATCACTTCTAGTGTATGCGGAAATTGTGTTCCCCTTTTCCTTGGTTCTTTCCATGCTACAATATGTGGGAAGTATGACGTTGCAAAGGCACAACACGACTAGGCGGGAAGAGATCTCGGAAGACGCCCGCACAACGAATATACTTCCCCTTATATCTCTAGCGACTAGCAAATGAAAACTCTGGAACAGTATATGTTCTTGTACGTATTCAATTTTCCAAGGCTGAGCAGGCAGCCCACATAACATTGGGGGCTAAAATATTAGCACTAAAATATACGATAGAAACACGCTAAAATGTACGCTAAAATGTACGAGCCGCTCTATTGAGTTACCTATTTCTGGATATCTAGTCATGTATAAATATCGGTATGAGTACAGGATTCTAAAGGTATCATCACAGTCCCCGGCGATTAATCATCATCATGCTACTCCTATCACTCCTTACTATCGCCGCTGGGCTACTGGTTCCTGCCGCATCCAGAAACACACCAACTCGACGAACCTCAGGTGCAACATCTACTCTCATAGCAACACAGTATGGAACTGTGTTTGATGCTCCAGTCACAATCGGGAACCAGAGCTTCATGCTCCTCGTGGACACTGGCAGCAGTGACACCTACGTGATGCAAACCGGATACAGATGCGTCAACAGCACTGACAACCTTGTCATAACACAAAGTGATTGCCTCTACTCAAACAAGACCTACCACAAGTCTACAACATATCGCCGTGTCCCCAACGAGATGTTTGGCGTGCAATACGGCGCAGGACTCGCGAGCGGCGTCATGGCCTACGAACAAGTGTCCATGCACGGTGTAACCGTCAACGCGCAGAAGATTGCTATCTCAGATGTCTCCAACCCTATGGGCGATGACGTGAACAGCGGGTTACTCGGTCTGGGATACCCAGCTCTCACCTCCGCACACCCGGCGAATCACACATCCAACAGCACATATTGGCGCGATCGTCTAGTGTACAACCCTTTACTGTTTACGATGCACGAGCAAGGCCTCATCGATCCATACTTCAGTCTTGCACTCGCGCATACACCACAAAATCAATCTACTTCTTTTGGGGGGTACTTGACGCTTGGCGGTCTTCCACCCGTCAATCACAGTTCCCACTTCTCCACAGTCCCTGTCGAGATCACGGAGAACATTCCGCTGTGGTACACATCGGGGAAAAGTGTCCGATCTTACTGGTCAACCACTGTCAACAATATCACTTATGGCCCCTCCTCGAATAACCTGACCACACACAAAACTTCATTCCAAGCATTCATCGACTCTGGGAACTATATCTCGTACCTTCCACCCGCAGTTGTTGAGCCTATCAACGCTCTCTTTTCGCCTCCGGCAACTTATGATTCTGACCTCGGTTTGTATATTGTTGATTGCTCGGCCAAAGCACCGGAATTCGGTCTGTCGCTTGGTGATCAGACATTCTACCACGATGGTTCCGATCTGATCTATCAGACTGCTGAGGGGGTTTGCGTGTCTAGTCTGGCTTCATCTGCGGAGGTCTCCCTGGGTGATATCACATTGAACATTATTGGCGTTCCATTTTTGAAGAACGTCGTGGCTGTGTTTAACTTTGGGAAGAATGAGATGCAGTTCGCTAAGAAGCTGAGTTATCGACACGATCCCTCGGGGAATACTACCTCGACACCTCTGGTTTCTGGTGCCCCGGTTCGATTCAATAGTGAGCATAGCGCTGTGATCGGTTTATTTTTGGCCTTGACTATTTCACTGATGGTATAAAGCCTGAAAGGATTATGATTCTGTATTTAGATCTGATTATTTGATCGACTTCGTTCAAGTTTTAACAGTTTGAATGCTTCCTCCAATCCACCATCTGCATCAACAATTCCAGAGCCCACATCTTCTAGTTTGAAAGCCATCTCAGGCTCTTCGCTTCGTACATCATCTTCAGATAGCATTGCTTTGACAATAGTCACAGCAGTACGCGCATCCCAAAGTCCATCGCGAGATGTAAATAGAGACCCCTGCATTAAAGAGAGTGCAGTGCGCAATATGCGGCGGTCGCTTGTTTTTAGGCAGATAAAGTATAGCATCGCAATGATATTTGTCGAAAGAGTGAAGACTCGATTGGAAGGAGCCTTGTTTTCAAAGCTAAACCCAGATTCAGATTCAGATGATAGAGATAACAGTGTTGATATTTGGGTAAGAGCGATATCAAATCTGCAAGTCGCGTCTAGAGGAATCTGGGCGCCATCAAGAGTGAAGATGATATTTTCCAAGAGAACCGCATGAAATATAAGTGCCTGGCTTCGTAGAAGAATGAGTCGTTGGCGTTGAGCGGAAGTAAAAGACTGAACATCTTCACTCGTGGTCATTTTCTCCGCAGTTTCTTCCAATTTCTGAAGTTGAGCTTCCAGGTTTAATCTTTCCCGAAGAACAATAGATGGTACTTGAGATTGAGGTAGGTTCTTATATTCCACGAATTCCATTAGGTGCCATAGTGTCCAATTCTGGAGCACGACAAGCGAGGTCTCGAGATCGGATAGACCATAAATCCGCTCTGGAACCGTAGCCATCTCCCCTGAGACTTGTTCTGGCAACGCAAGCCTGAGAATAGGTGTTCTCTCAAGCGAAAAAATACTTGCATGAATATCAAGCTGAGAGAAGATCGCCACCAACTGCGCATATGTCTCCTGGCCATCCACAAGATATGGATAATCCGTCTGAATCCTTCGTAGGAGAATCAGACCTTGATCTAGATGCCATAATGCTTGTTGGACATTGCCGATCAAACACTCGAAAGTATAGAATATGAGGCTGCAGATTAGCGCTACCTCGCCTGAAGGATCTCGGGTAAGATGTGCACGAAGCTGAGAGTGCGATCTGGTGATACGCTGGATATGTTTGACTGAGACTTCGAGCCGCGGTGACCTAACAAGCATATAGTCGCGATATAGGGACGTGAGCGCAACAATAGAATTGCGGATAACGGATTGGTCTTGACATCTCTGCAGGATGAGGTGCGTCCATAGCGTAGTATCTGAGAGACTAGATAAGGAGCCGGCTGCTTCGCAACAGTAGTAATGAAGTAGTTCACGGTCTGCGCGACTGCCGGGTACTTTGAATGGAATATTGTACATCTTGATTTCGGGTTGGGAGGTGGAAGCTTGGGGATATCCGGGGCAGCTTCGTCCGGCGGAAGTGCACCGGCCACACCTGGGACGTTGCTCGTCGCATTTTATTCGGTGGGTTCTAGCTCAGTTAGAAGCAGCGTACTGAGCGTTATCCAATATACTCACTTGCAGGTGGCACACCCTGTTCGAACTTTGGGTGTGCTACGACGCGCTTTGATGGAAATCATTAGATAGATCGAGGGATAAGAAGCAAAGGTGGAAGGGTTGGTTTAAATCTAAAAATAACCAAAGGAAGTAAGGCTGAAGCTGCTGAGTGGGGGCGGAAATCAGCCACCCATATAAACGGGTAAGCCATGCAAAAGGGCACATAAATAGTTGTTGGTTTTTATTTCAACAAAGTTATATTATAACCCTTTATTTTAAGTGTGCCCCTTATATTCTAATGTCATAGTAATACCCCAGTGGAATTCAAAGGTATGGTCATGAGTGCCTCTATGATTATATATCTTATGTGTGGTAGGGATGCACAATCAAAAAGGTGACCGCTTCCCAAGGAAGTTCCATGCATCCTTATGAGCGATCCTCATGCACGAAATACTCAGTCTTGACGGCAATCCCCGGCCCGGGAACCAGTGCCGTATCCTTCACCAATCCATCCTCGGAGTCATGGAACGAAATGTCATCTGCGCCGCGGTCGACTTGACTTCGTGAGACGGAGACGGTGGTGTGTTGCTTGCTGGCCTGGGCACCGGTATGTACGCCAGAGTGTGAGAGCTCGTAGCCGCGGCGGCCGCTATAGGTTCCTGTGCGAGAGTGCGAGCCGAATACTAGGGTGCGGAGAACGGGGAGACAAGAAGCGATGATGGCGATGGCGGTCTCGACCATGGAGACGGTGCAGGTGATCATTTGTTCGTTGCGGTGGGAGTAGATTGCCCGGATAACTAGGTACATCGTGGGTTAGTGGTGGGGAGGAGATGAAAGTGACAGAGGGGAGACATACTGCTGCTGATGACTACAAGACCACCCAGGAGGAAGACAGAGATGACACCCCACTTTTGTTTCTTGGGCATCTTGAGTCGTGCAACTTGCGAAATGGGGAGGCAGATGACTGTTTGAATTGGGTTAGACGAGGCGATTGAGATGAATTGAGCTCGGAACCTTACTGAAGACATCACTGAAGATGTTGACTGCTGAAGTTAGTTGATAATCCAAGTAAAGCAGGAAATATAGCCTTACAGAGAATAGTAAGCCAGTAATTGACTGTGGAAGGTCCTTGGGGGCATGCCACTAAAAGAGCGTCAGTCCCTGCATCTGTGGTAGTTGGTATAGAAGCATCCTTACACTCAGGGTTCGTGAGCCCATCCCACTGCCGCCGGGGCGGGTAGCATTTGAAGACAATATCAAAAAACAGCACTAGCCAGGTTGCAGCCAGGAAGCCAAGTGTGATGTTATACACCGTCTGGTACCGGGTGCGATCTGCAAGGCGCTTGTAGAAGATCACCATGCTAGACTTGATCAGCCACAGCGAAGTGACGTATAGTGTGGAGCCCGGGATGATCATCTAGTAAATAAACTAGGCATTAATAACAATGTGATTGTGTATACTTCCTAACGCAGACTGTTTTACCTTCATCATATTAATCTTCTGCTGCATGGTTGTATTCGCCATTTCAGACATGCCTGTGCCCGCTACCGTCAGTGGACTCCTCTAAAATTTTGCTCCACCAATACGCTAACCACCTACCCAGGTTGAACATATAATGTTGGATTGCCAGATCGCCGATTAGACACAAGGCAGCCATCATAACGAACAGGTCGTCGAGGTAAAGCCGCTTCAGGAGCCGCAGGCGGACCACAAGGCGACAGACCAGGAAGATGCATGCCGCCACTGTGCAGACATACCAGGCCACCTGCACAATGGAAATCCATTTAGCGAGGTAGTGGGAAATTTGAAGGAAGGATATCATACCACTTGCCCCAGATCTGGGCGCGCCATGTTGACTTGCTTTCTGTCCCAGTCACGAACTGCAGAGAGAGGGAAAGGGCAAGACTCGGAGCATTAAAATAATGTGCTAGCTGTCTATTATTATAAATTATCTATTGGACATCAGCTCCAGCCATTCTCCAAATTGAGCGAATGCACTGAAACAACTTTTCCCAAGGCCCACTGCCTTGGAAAGGCGCTAGAACAGATTATCGAACAGTCAAACTTAGATTGAAGGACTGTGACTCGTTGTGCCATTCATCTCGTATAAAATGGATGGTATCTTTCTTGGTAAGATTACATCTGTGCTTTGAATATAGGGCAACGTCGATAATTACTGTATTAGACTGGAATATTACGTCGGTCCCACTGATTGTGGCCCCACGAAATGATCCATGGATCGGTGTTATAACCACAGGAACTTTGTGGACGCTAGATCGATCCCGAACCTTGGGAATGTTCTAATATTCCAAGATTGCACAGGTTTCTAGAATTTGTTGGTTCGTATGGATTCTCACATTTAGGTGATTTTCATCGCATTGTGTAATCTCGAGCGGAAGTTCGTGCGTTTGGACATTCCCCATCCGGCAATTATATGGTTTAATCTATTCGAAGCCGGCGCTCCGCAACTAGCAAAAATTACGCGATAAACATTAGTAAATAATCGGTAGTGCAACAACTCGAGTGCGGAAATATTTATTCTTCTAAATCCGCAGTGGGAAAAAGAAAGAACGTGGGAGTCGCGATCCAGATCATTTTTAGTAGTGCCACTTCTGCGCTCTGTCGAAACTTTAAAAGAAAACCCGGGTGTCTCGGAAAAAGGATTTGATTTGCCGCTCAGCGTACGCTACTTGTGGGGGCCCATGCAGAAGTAATGCCGTCTGCAGGATTTTGGCCTTAGGGGGCGTTCTCGAGCCGTGGTAGTGCCTGCATTAGGCTCATTCTGTGAGGGTCCACGATTCGATTGAGATTATATAAATAATTCTAGATCTAATTTTTTTATACAGAAGCAGACAAGGCCGGAATGATTTCTCAGACACTCTCGGCCAGCACCACAGGGTTCAGCACCACTGGGTAGTTAGGATAGTTGGGCTTGTAGACCTTCTGGCAGCGACCGTTGTACACGCCAGTCGTGCTCGTCACAATCTCCTCCTCATGCCCAGGCACACCCAAGCGCGCCAAGGGACCATTAACAGGCTGGGCCTTCTCCCAGCCAGGCCCAGCGGTGGGGTTCTGAACGAACGCCACAAAACGGGAGTGTAGGTAGTCCGCTAGCTGCTGCTCCGCGTCGGTCACGCCATCCAGCAGCGAGAAGCACTCATTGCCACCGTGGAAAAAGGGCACCTCGCTGCCGTGTGAGGGCCCGAGATTGGGGATCGGCAGCACGTTCGAGTAATCGCCGAACCAGCGATAGATCCAAGTGGGTTGCTTGGCGGCACGTAGATCCAGCAGGGCGTCGGTCGCGCAGAGGAAGCGCGCGTCGCCGTAAGAGGCACCGCTCATCAGGGAGACAGAGGCGTAGTCAGCTTCGTCGTAGGCGGCCAGGAGCTGATCCGCTGGCACGAAGGCAATGTCGGCATCAAAAGTGCGGATCCAGGACGAGAAGTTAGTGTTCTCACTGCCGTAGACGTAACCGAAGATTTCGCCCTCCTGGTCGGAGTTGCCGACGATCAGCGGCACCGATGTTGCGTAGTCACCCTTGACGAAGCGGTCGGTGTAGTTGGAGAAGCGGGTGATCTCGTCCACCACCGGTGAGAACCAGGTGTTCGAGGTCGAGTTGAAGTAGGTCGTCTGGAAGGCATAAGTATCTGCTGCGCGCAGGCAGTCCAGAGTGTAGTTCTCAGCGGTGCAGGCCAGAGCCACGCCGGCATCCAGCATGTCCTGAACCACCTGCTTTAGTGCGACACCGGAAGGTGCAATGGGCGGACCAGATTGGGCGTTGGCAGACATCTCGATCGCGCCGGCCAGGAAGGTATCGGGGTGATTCCAGAGATAGTGATCAACGTGGACTCCACCGGATGAATGGCCACCCAGCACGATGCGCGACTTATCACCACCGAAGGCTAGCGACTAGGTTAGTAAAAAGCCAAAAGGTGGTTTAAGAGAAAGGGGAACCTACCCTCAATGTTATTGTGAATCCACTCCATGGCCAACTCCACGTCCAGGATTCCAAAGTTCTGGGACTCGCCCTGAAGCTCAGGGGCATTGGGCGAGGCATAGATGCTCTCGCGATAATTAAAGTTAACGTAGATAACATCATTACGGGCAAAGTTAAAGCCTTGCCATTGGGCGTTGCTGCTGCCGCCGGTGACCATGGCACCGCCGTAAATGTAGACGAACACTGGGAGATTGGTACCCTTGCCTGGGGTCCAAATGTTGAGGCTGAGGCAATCCTCGCTCTGGTCGGTGATGGCAGTGCCAGACATCACCTGGGCACAGGATGGCCCATAGGCAGTGGCCTCTAAGTGACCATTGGGGAACGAGCTGATGGGCTTAGGAGCCTTCCAGCGGTTCTCGCCAGCAGTGGTCTCGGCAAAGGGGATGCCTAGAAAGACAGAGGTGTCATTCTGGAAAAAACCCCTGACAACACCTTGCTCGACGCTGACGCTGGGGGAAGTAGGCTGCGATCGACATACACGGGCATCTGCAACCACCAAAGCCATAGCCGTGGCCGTGGCCGTCAGGCTCAAGGTGCGGAAGAAACCCATGATCGCGAAGGAGGCCGGAGGGTGAACAAGGTGATCGTTGATGGTAACGGTGGGAAAATGCGCACTTAAACCGCGGGCAATGCGGTAGCGTACGTCTATGGAACCATGCCGAGATTGTACCTAAACGAGGATCAGTTTGTCTTGGATGACTCGTCCAATCATGTCAAATACTGTGGAGTGCAACCACGTGCCAACCATGTGGTGCACTAAACAGGCTATTGATTTCCCGTGTTAGCTCCACCCACAATAGCGATGATTATAACGACTAATACATATCTTGAAAGGAACTTTAGAAGTCAATAATCCACACCCAGGAGAGTTTGAATCCTTCCAGAAGCCTGATCTGGCATTAATCTTATACAAATTGACATTTAGAAGCGATTCAGAGCGTGTCTGAGAACCAGGACCGTTAAGTTCTTCACTCGTAGGGTTGAAAGCAGGATCTAGAACGGGTCATCAATATTAGGAATGCTAGAACGCGGGCAGTAAGTTCTGGCAACAGAAGGAAGAGATAACGTATTTCACTGCCGAGTGGGTCCACCGCAAAACGTAAATGTGATAAATTACCCCTTGATATTCAACAACGTAGTCTATACGGGGGTTTGCTTATGGCTCCATACTTTTTACGCGATATATAGTTTCTGTAAGGAATTTAAAAAAAAATATGACTTTGTAACTGCGATATACAGTGAGTTTGGCTACGCAAAAGTGTTTTAACACCCCTTGAAGTCCACCTGTCTGTATCTCAGATACCAAACGCCCACAGAGTTATGCCATCAGGTGCCTAAAATATTCGAAGCGCCTGTTGAAAATCAGCACCGGACTTTTGAGGCTAGTTTCTCTTCACCAGGATAAATTTCGGCATGATAAACCCTCGATCCAATGCACGGCCCAACAAGCCAAAAGGGGTTAAGGGCGAAAGCGAAAGGCCGAGGAGGCCATAATAACGGTACCACATGGCGAATCTTGGGCGGATAATTTAAGTGGCGGAACCTTTTGTAATCATACGGTGTGGGGCCAAGGTGTCGAGGATTTTGCGTAATTTCTGCCTTGGAACAACGTAATTTTCGATTCCATGAAAGTGTAGCTTTTCGATTTTCTTAAAATTTATATATTATGTAAGATTAAAAGTCCTTGTCAGCAGCTATTGAGGGGCAAAGAAATCAAATAACAACGTAGTTGTTTAGATATAAATCTGGAAAATATCGCACTTAGTTTGTGTTTTACGGTGGATCACTCGGCAGTGAATTAATATTACATTTAGATGTTGAATAACTACCGTGGGTGCAATTATTGAAATTAGTCAGATTGTCAACTGTTCTCATTTGTGTCATTATAGTCAAGAGTCTTTCTTACATATCATTGGTCTATACCATACATTGTTGCAGACCGAGATTTCCGTCGTAAGTAATATAGGTAAAGACACCTTTTGGAGACAGGAATGATGTTTATGAACGGCTAAATTCAACAGTAAAAGAATGCCCTGTAACGAAGGAACAGCTTGAAAGCGGTTACAAACCGTAGGCTTATGCGAAGCTGACTTTATGAGTTGACGCTGCGAGAAACACCAATTCACGGGTTGTCTTTCTGTCCCTGTGTTTTGAGGCTTGGTTTATTAGGTTTATCCTGGTATATCGCCCTAATCCTCTTTTCGCTCCGCTCTTGCCCTGCTTTTCTGTCGCCTGCTCGTCAATCCTTTTTCGACTTGCCTCGCTCTTGCCATTCGTTCTTTTCCCGTTTCCTATATTGCCTTCTCCCACTACCTGGCTTATCACATTTATCAATCTGTGCTTTTCCGGACATTTCATTATCCTAGACCATAGTTTTATGTTGACAATGGCTTGTCTAGTTTCATTATATATATCACCAAGCTACCGTACAGTAAACCGGAAGATTCTCCAATCCCCAGCCTCGTCCACAGGTATTAGAGCGACCTACCTAGCTTATATAACTTCATTATACTTATTATGTATGCCACCCTTATAGAATCCCCTCATGCACATACCGTGCTATGCTCCAGCTGCTCATGACCTACAATATCGCCTCTATATAAAGTAAGTCCCGCCTGCCGCCAGAAAATCCCTCCAACAAAGACTCCATCGATGTTTGCTTGTTACTAGTGAGGTACTGAAGTCCCTTTCCACTTTATAATCTCTGCTATTTTCCACAACTTTTCCCTCGCCTACACAACGTACGCTCTGCTCTAATTTCGCCTGACCCCAGCAGTCATCCCGGTATTTAACATCTAATCACTGTCGATAATGGACACGGAATCATCGTCGGTCTGCCACTGGGCTGGAAAGGCTCTCTTGTACGCAGTTTGGTGATGGCTCATAACTCGGCCTTTCTGCTCCAAATATATTTCGCCCGCCTAGGGTACACAAGGGCAAAGAATCCTTAAAGTATGGCCACCCTGAATACGACCGTCATATAGTTGCTTCCTAACACGACGAAGAGACTTCAACAGCAGTGAAGGCATTTGTGTGTAGTTCTTGCGGTAATTTTATGCTACACACTAGTCTACATCATATGGGTGATGACAATCCTTCACTTCTTTCTCTGAGTGCTGTTATCGGTCACTGCAGCCGACTTGAACGATCCTGGAGTCTGCTCTCCTGTTATAGAGCGCTCAGTCGAGCGGCCATCCCCAAGTTTTCCTCGAAAATGCTGGTCAATGTTACTCTCTGCCAGAATTACCCTTCTGCCCTGAATAATCTCATCTTAACTGGACGCTATGCTATCGCAAGATGTCACCCGCCAGGACTCATTGTGAAGTTGCGTTTAGGCGGCCGCCTGTCGTTAATCAGCCACCGCGCGCTGCAATGTCATTTTATTATCATCCTCTAGGACCTATGTTCACTGTTTTACATGGTACTAATTGCGGAATCGAGGTTGGATAGCATTATTAAAGCTTTCAGGTTAGCATCGTCCCTTATCAGACGTGGGCCTGATGCCATATTTACTTATTCGGAAACACAAAGTTTTATCGGCTTTGCAATATCTCGTTCGATTTAATCGTCTATATCGTGTATTAAAATTAACCAGCCGATGACGGATAACTAGAACGATGAATTCATCCACCTCAAGGTACGGTCGATATTATTCGACTTGGCGAGCTAAACCACTATGAACGTGAAGGATATACGGTTAAACTGGCACCAGGCAGCATAAGACGAAGCAGCATAGGATCAAACCTTCAAATCCCCCAATAACGGTAGACACTTGCAAATTAGCTCTGTTTCTATTCACGTCAGCGGGGAACGCTAGAACCCTGATGTGTGCATGCTAGATGCCTTAGTCGATGTGGTCACTAGCAGATCGCGCCCATCCATCTGAATAATGCGACATAGAAAGTATCAACGCTGTATACAGACGTTCTGTTGCCGGCCAACGGATTCCAGCAATTTCTTATACAACTCGTGCTCAGATTGATAAATCATTGGCCAGACTTTGTTATTTTACCACTGCCTTCCCTGCCCTATTTCCAAAGGGGATCTGAGGCCGAACGTGCAATCCCGGTGTCGCTGAGTTCTCCTGGCGAGCGGGCTTTAAGTACCACAGCAGAAGGTGAACGGGCTCTGCACAGTATTTCCTTTCGCGCCCGCTAACAATTTTAGGTTCGCCTACCATAAGACTTTCATATCTTTGGTATTCGGGACCTTGCAGTTTCGCAGGTCGTTATTGGGTGGTATGTTCCTGATTGAACGGCGATATTTTCCTGTCGCCCATAGCATCACCTCCCTGCCTGTAGACCATCGCGTTGCCCAAAGGGTGAATGACTTCATCATTCGCCGCCTTTAAAATATTGTAACCGTGGGCATGGATGTTACTAGATCCTTCTCCGAGAAGCTGAGGATGCGCTCTGATATTCGAGGGTTAATCATTCGGGATGGAATGCCGGTCTTTAAAATCACCATTAACCCCTCGGACATGTGCTAGAAAAACTCCTAGATAAGTTCGACTTGAAGGATTGGAGAATGGCGAATGAGAACGAGAGAGAACGAGAGAGAACGCAGAAAGGCATCTTGAAGGGGCTCGACCAGACTGGGCGTAAAAGGAGGAAATTTGAATTCGGCTACAGAGATCAATTCTTGGCGTCGTTTTGGTCGCCAGTGGAAACGTAGGGAACAAGTGTTCACTTAGGGAAGAGCCGTTCAAGTTGAACCCCAACATCACCTAGGCACTTGGCAGGGCTGGATGATGACTAATACCATGGGTACACCTACATAGGTAGGCAGAATAGTGGTGGTACAGGGAGAGTTATAGGAAAGGCGGCCGTTTCAGTTTTACATTTTCCCCGGTGCCCATACTCTAATTGTAAATTGCGCACATCCAAGATTGGCTAGCGCTTCAATCATGAGCAATCAGGCAGGATGATGAGTGGCGTTATTGTGGCCTAAACATCCCCTTAGAGAGGGCATATCTCCGAAGCACACATGGGTACCTTGCATAAACCGGGAAATAAAAGGGAAAATAGAACGTGGAAATTTTGGGGGCCGTAGGCTAAAACGTGTCCAACGCAGAGTTACATCTCAAAATGAGTTCATTAGGTCGACAAACTAAGAGGGACTAGTGGTGATCAATTCGAAATGAAGTGAGACACCAATCTTGAAGTGCCGTAAATGCTGTGATTGCTGTGATTAATGTAACCAAATAGAAATGGTGATCCGGCTTCTTCCCGGATCGGCATCTATGATTGGCGAACCTGGAAGGGGTCCGTCCCACTTTATTCGCTCTTAAGGGCTTAGTGTAGGTTTGTTAGGTTTTAGCCTCCGGTCTTGAACTTGATTTGGAAAGATATTAAAACCTTAGACCATATCCTTCCACCCTGTTACACCCACGTGTACACTCTAACTCTTTTAGTAATTGATTCAAACACTTGTCAAACAAGTATTGCTTTCACCTTCCTACCTTCCTGCGTTAATATAATTATTCCACTCTCGGATTTAACCCGACATACAATGGCCGGTGGGCCCCGAGGTATCTGTGCTCGAGGGGCTAAGCGATGGGCTATGATTGGATTTTGTATATCAAGCTAATTGCCTCTGCTCCAGTCATGACCCCATGCTAATGCGGCTAGAGTCCGTTAGGGTTTTTAGCCTCTTTTATGCGGCTCTTGCAATTTTACTGCACCGGGATAGGCCGAAATAGGCACGGGGTCAGCACATACCCCTCTCCAAACAAAACCTGTTATGGTTCATGGCTGATTCATCTCTTACTCGGATGTGACTCTTTTGCGCCACTTGCTGCGTGGCCGTATTATACCTGCGTCTGGCCTGTCACCAGTCTACAATTGGAAAGCCGGTCCACGCGACTTTCACGTTGAGTTGCCATGGATTTCGCATCATCGCTGTTGTGAATAGATCCAGGTCCGGTTTGCCCCCGGGTCTAGTGTTCACACTATCTAGATTTGAATCCACCTTGCAACTCTGCGTTGGGTTGCCCTGCACCGGTGGAGAGCGTTCGGGGTGGCACTGACCTCTGAGTCGTGGAAGCATCCGGATATCATACACTTTCATTTCCACGCTTTGATAGCTCTGTTCTCCTTTTTGATTAGTGCGCACTATGTCGGAGGTCGGCACTTGCTCCAGGGGGCGGATATGGACAGCCCCCAACTAGCGCTCGATGTATTTCAGTCTCTTTCCCCCGGAGAGTTGTTGCATTTTCTTTCGACCATCAACACTCTCATTTTGAGCTCTTTGGGAAAGCTTCCCAAGCAGATATTTGTCTGCGTCCTCTCGTTGTTCGCGAGCTAACCTGCCGTTCATTTTATCGGGTTAATCAGCGATTTGTGTTGCATTTAATTATTGCATATAATTACTACATTCATTTCTAGCCATGATGTTCAAGTCTCTTGCCACCGTGTCGGCCCTGTCACTCCTTGCATCATCTGCTATTGCTGTCGATGCCAGTCTGAAGAATAATGTCGCTGTCTACTATGGACAAGGTGATAACCAGCCCCGGCTGAAGCATTTCTGTGAACAGACCACTTCGGACATCATCAACATCGGTTTCATTAATCAGTTTCCCAAACATGTGGGCGACTTCCCTGGTTCCAACTTTGCCAATCAGTGTGATGGCACCTTTTTCCCCGGCACCGAACTGCTGAGTGGGTGTCACCAGATCTGGCAGGATATCCCCAGCTGCAAGGCTGCCGGCAAGACAGTCCTGCTGTCCATCGGGGGTGGTAGTGCTACAACCCAGTCTCTCCCAGACGATGCCACCGGTGAATGGTTTGCGGATTTCCTGTGGTACTCCTTCGGTCCTTACAATTCAGCAATTTCTTCATTGGGTTGGACCGAGACCATGCTTGGACAACTTTACCCTCGTCCATTCCTCACTTCCTCAGTTGATGGATTCGATTTTGATATCGAGTATAACGGAGGTGTTGGTATGTTCCCCTAAGCCTCTAACTTCCTGGCCGTACTATCTCTGACACGCCGATCTAGGGTACGCCGCCATGATCAATCGTCTTCGCGAGCATTACGCCACGAGCACCGAGCAAACCTACTACATCTCCGGTGCTCCCCAGTGCCCCATCCCTGATGCTCAGCTCAGCGATGCTATTGCCAAATCGTACTTTGATTTCCTCTGGGTTCAGTTTTACAACACCCCGGGTTGCTCTGCGGCAGACTATGTCAACGGCACCGGCAAGTTCAACTTCGATGAGTGGGTCGGTGTCATCGAGAAGAGCGCCAACCCCAATACTAAGCTTTTCATCGGACTTCCTGCTTCCAAGGCTGCCGCTAACGCTGGATTCTACGTGACCCCTGACGAAGTGAAGCCCCTTGTCAAGACTTATATGGATAAGCACCCCAAGCACTTCGGTGGTGTTATGCTGTGGGAGGCCACCGCCGGTGACAACAACGTCATTGATGGAGAAACTTACACTGAGCACATCAAGGACATCTTGTACGATTGCGCTCCTCGCCCTGTCACATCCACGACCGTTACCCCGACCCATTCATCAACTGTGCCTCCTGTTTCGTCTTCAACTGTCCCGTCTTCCACCACTTCCACCACGGTCGCTTCTTCTAGCTCCGTTGCTTCTTCTAGCTCCGTTGCTTCTTCTAGCTCCGTTGCTTCTTCTAGCTCCGTTGCTTCGTCTACGCCCGCTGCTTCGTCTACGCCCGCTGCTTCGTCTACGCCCGTTGCTTCTTCTAGCTCCGTTGCTTCGTCCAGCTCCGTTGCTTCGTCCACCCCCGTTGCTTCGTCTACGCCCGCTGCTTCGTCTACGCCCGCTGCTTCGTCTACGCCCGTTGCTTCTTCTAGCTCCGTTGCTTCGTCCAGCTCCGTTGCTTCGTCCAGCTCCGTTGCTTCGTCCAGCTCCGTTGCTTCGTCCAGCTCCGTTGCTTCGTCCACCCCCGTTGCTTCGTCTACGCCCGCTGCTTCGTCTACGCCCGTTGCTTCTTCTAGCTCCGTTGCTTCGTCCAGCTCCGTTGCTTCGTCCACCCCCGTTGCTTCGTCTAGCTCCGTTGCTTCTTCTAGCTCCGCTGCCTCTTCCAGCGAGTCTTCCTCTTCAAGCGTCCCTAGCAGCTCTGTGACCCCTACTCCTTCCGCTTCATCTGGACACCCCTCCGCCACTGGAAAGCCCACCCACAGCTCGCATGGCCATGGCCACGGACACGGACATGGACACGGACATGGACACGGCTCCCACACACACACCCACGCGCACACCCACACTGCTCCAAGCTCGACTCCCCTTGCCTCGGACCACTCTTCCAGCACAGCCCCTGTCTCTTCTTTGACCGAGTCTGGCACCGCTTCCACTAGCGAAGGTGCCATCCCGACCGGTGTCCCGTCTTCCAGCGCTGAGACTACTGGAAGCTCCAAGCCTACCGGTGACAACACTACCGGTGGTTCCAAGCCTACTGGCGTCGAGACTACAGGCGGCCCTCAGCCTACAGGTGACAGTACTACTGACGGTTCTAAGCCTACCGGTGACAACACTACCGGTGGTGCCAAGCCTACCGGTGACAGTACTACTGGCGGTTCTAAGCCTACCGGTGACAACACTACCGGTGGTTCCAAGCCTACTGGCGTCGAGACTACAGGCGGCTCTCAGCCTACAGGTGACAGTACTACTGGCGGTTCCAAGCCTACCGGTGACAACACCACCGGTGGCTCCAACCCTACTCACGTCGAGACTACAGGAGGCCCTAAGCCTACCGGTGACAACACTACCGGTGGTTCCAAGCCTACCGGTGACAGCACTACTGGAGGATCTAAGCCTAGTGGCAGTGACACTACCACAGCCCCCGCTGGTATCACCGCCACTCCCTCCGTCACTGGCTCGCCTTCCTCTTTGGCTCCGGGTACCACCACAACTATCATTGTGACCTCCTACGTTGATATTTGCCCAACTGGCTTCACCACCATCACCACCACCATTACCAAGACCTGGTGCCCTGGTAACTCTCCCGCTACTGCCACCGCCACTGGCACCGCCGAGATCACCGCCCCTACTTCCGGTCCTGCCACCTCCACTGCCGACATCCCTGAAGGCTGGACTACTACCGTGACTGTCTGCACCCACTGCGCCGCTACCCCTACTACCGTGACCCTCACCAAGCCCGTTGCCACTGCTATCACTACCACTGAGGCTGCGTCGCAGCCCACTGCCCCTTCGGTACCTGAGGGATACACCACCACTGAGACTTTCTGCAAGCACTGTGGTCCTACTGGTAGCACCATAACTCTCACCATCCCGGCCCCCACTGCTACTGCCATTGTTCCTGGTGCTGGCTCCGGCTCTGGCTCAGGTTCCTCTGGCTCAGGCTCCGGCTCTGGCTCCGGCTCCGGTTCCGGCTCTGGTTCCTCTGGCTCTGGCTCTGGCTCCTCTGGCTCTGGCTCTGGTTCCTCTGGATCTGGCTCTGGTTCCTCTGGCTCTGGCTCTGGTTCCTCTGGCTCTAGCTCTGGCTCTACCGGCGAGGTTACAGTGCCCGGCATCGCCCCCGTGGTGCCATCTCCTTCCTCCAAGCCCATTCCCAGCAATGGAGCCGGAGGCTTCCAAGCCGGAAGACCGTCGTCGTCAAGCATTGTGTTCCACCCCTCGCCCTCGCGCACTGCCGTGCCCACCGTCGCAACTACTGCCACTGGCACAACCGCAGAGCCCACCGGCAACCCCGTGGGCGTATCCCCGGTCTACACCGGTGCGGCCTCGCGTGCCAACGTGACTGGCTTCTTCGGTGGCGTTCTCGCCGTCGCTCTTTCCATGTTCATGATGCTGTGAAGCTGCCCACTTGCCTGGACAGCATGATCTCATCATCTACGCGATATGATTGATCTGACGATGCTGATCTCAAGAAGAACCGGTACTGGTTGCTTTCTCTTTCTTTACGATATTGTCTTTATTATATATTCTATTTTTCCGATCTCCAGTTTCCGGAGTGATTCAATACCTCTTGGCCTCTTTTTGTGATTTACTCTGGCCAGTAGTGGCGAGACCGTCGCATCTTCGAACTGAAGTTTGTGAGCGGTCGAGTCCGTTTGTTCTCAATCTCCTAATGATATCCATTTCAAGGTGTCGCTGTCGAGTCTGACCTCCTTTTCATGTATTCTTGCTTGTTTTACTATCAATAGGTAGAGATGCTCTTTGTATAAAAATTACCATATTGTCTTACATTTGTCTATAACCCTGAAACCCTCTGATGCGATTCCCCTACTTGTAGGGGCGACTAGGTCCTGGACGCAACTCCTTCATTGGATAATAATGTATCAACTTGCCTACCCCATGTGAACTATAAGTGCATTTATGTCATAGAGATGTCATTATATCTCTTTTCCCCCTCTAGTTAGATGGTAGATATTATTAATTATTTTCGAGCTCAAATGACATAATAGTATGAACTTCATAGTAACTATGAAGTGCATATGCCAATGTGCAACCATTTCCCCGCATTTTGATATCGGACCTCGGATGCGGAGAAAGTATTTAACTGGAGGTACCTCACCTTTGAAACTTCCTTGTCTCCAATACACAAAATGTCACCATTGAAGGGAATCAAAGTCATTGAGCTAGCAGGCCTAGCTCCAGGTACGCAATTAACCTAAGAAAACATAATAATCACAATTAATAACCACCCCCCAGGCCCATTCGCAGGCCTCCTTTTAGCCGACTATGGCGCCTCAGTCCTCCGCATAGACCGACCCAACTCCATAACCAGCGACCAATTAACCCGCAACAAAACTTCCATAACCCTCAATCTACGCTCCCAAGCCTCCCTAAACATCCTCCTTCGCCTCCTCACAACAGCCGACATCCTAATTGACCCCTTCCGCCCCGGCGTCCTCGAACGCCTCGGCCTCTCCCCAACAGAAGTTCTGCTAAAACACAACCCCCGCCTAATTGTCGCCCGAATGACCGGCTTCCGCCGCGACGGGAAATACAAAGATATGGCCGGCCACGACATAAACTACCTCGCCGTCTCAGGCGTGCTGTCGATGCTCGGCCGCGCAGCAGAAAAGCCCCACGCCCCAGGGAACATCCTCGGCGACTTCGCCGGCGGCGGCGCTGTGTGTTTCCAGGGGATCTTGCTTGCACTTATCTCCCGCTCCCATACGGGACGCGGCCAGGTCGTCGAGGCCAATATGGTGGATGGCTCCGCGTATCTTGCTACGTTCCCACGACTTGGGAGGAATACTTCTGCGTGGGCGGAGCCGCGTGGAGAGAATCTGCTCGATGGGGGGTGTCCGTATTATGATACGTATGAGACTAAGGATGCTGGGCGGTATTTTGCGGTCGGGGCTTTGGAACCGCAGTTTTATGCGGCGTTGGTGCGGGGGTTGGGGTTTGACATTGGGGAGCTGCCGAAGAGGGAGGATCGGAAGCAATGGCCGGCGTTGAGGGAGATCTTTACCAGGAAGTTCAAAGAGAAGACGCGCGCAGAATGGGAGGCTGTTTTTGATGGTACGGATGCTTGTGCTACGCCTGTTTTGGAGCAGCGCGAGCTTGAGGAGGATGGGTATGAGCAACGGCCTATGGTACATCTTGCTAGTACACCTGCGGCGCCGATCTTGGCGGATAAGGGTGGGTGGACGGGTGGTGGAATGTTGCCTGGGGATGGGGGTGTGGATACGCTTAGGGAGTGGGTTGGGTGGGAGCATGGGAAGGACTTTGAGGTTAGGGGGGATGGGGCTTTCGTGGTTGTGAATGGGAAGTCGAAGATTTGAGGTCTTTGACATGACGATACATGGAAAGCCTTTATATTTTACTCTTACTACATAGTTAGATTTATATGTTCAAAATGGTTTATACTATGTAACAGACTCTAAAGAGGCAGGTATCTATCATTACAAAGAAACACTTCCAGTTCCGCTTCTCCCGAGATTCCCAACAAATTGCAGACATTGAACTTCATACATACTAACGCCGGATTCCAACCAGCGCGGATTATCATTACCATTACCACCAAACGCAAACACCAGCTTAGAGATAGAGGCCGTAGCCAACAAGAGCATGCACAGAAACGAGAAGAGAAGTCCACACAAGCGAGAAAGCAGCGCCGTCATGACCAGCGGGACTACCGTTGCTCTTCGCAGTACCACTCTTCTTCGCGGCAGCCGCGGTGCTGGAAGGCGTAGGAGCCGACCCACTGAGAGCCGGCTCGGGCTTGGTTGGCAAGTTGTAGTATTCGCGAATGATATCGCTCGCTTGCTCAGCGATACCGTATGTCGAGGACATCAAGTGCGTAGACAAGGCGATAGGGATGACACTGGCATCTGCAACGCGCACATTTGAGAGGCCGTATACGAGAAGGTTTGCGTCGACCACGCCGCCCTGCTTCTCGGGCAGCATTGCGCAGGATGAAGACGGGTGGAACTCCGTGCCGGCTGACTTCCGTAGCCATTCTATCCAGTCATCGTCGCTCTGGACGCTTGAGCCCGGGGAAGTTTCGTTGGTCAAGGCTTTGCTCATCGGGCTGGTTTGGCCTAGTTGGCGGGCGAGTTTGATACCTGCGAGGAGGATCTCGGCGTCTGCATTATTGTTAGTGTTATGAAACCTTGGTTAGATGTTGGTTGCAGGGAGTACACACCAGCTGGGTTGTCCAGATAGTTCGGGTCGATGACAGGGAAGTCCATCGGGTTCGAGGAGTTGATGTAGATACGGCCGTGGCTGAATGGGTGTTGGAGGGCAGCTGTGATGCCGATATCGCCGTTTGCATCGCTGTTCATGAATAGAAGCTCGATTTGACCTGTCGGGGTTTCGAAGATCTTCGACGTTGTGTTACAGATTGCCTTGTAGCCGGTGACGACGCCATCGTCGTAAGTCGTGTTTGGCGCATACTGATCGATTGAAGCGAGGAATTTCGACTCATACTCATCAACCTTACTGCCGTACATAGCAGTGGCGTTCACGTAGGCAACAGCGGAATCGATATAAGTGAGGAACTTGGCATCAGTCTGCAGGAATTAGCATACGGGCTTGGTGGATGAGGGATACACAGAACGAACTTTATCTTTGCCGTTGTTATAAAAGATGGAACCTGCGGTGTCCACATTCGTGCTCCATTTCACTGTGGCACTCTGTGCAACGAAGTCAGTTAAATGCTCGTCTCATGAATAAGAAGCGCACTCACGAAATGGTCTTGAAGGTGTTGACCGACGCCGGGAAGTTCAGATACAAGGTCAACACCAGCGTCAGAGAGGACGTCTTTGGGGCCGACGCCGCTGTAGAGCAACACAGCCGGGCTGCCAATAGTGCCACCCGCAAGGATGACTTCCTTGTTAACCTTGACCTTCAGTTTCGTTGATCCGCTATCAGTTGTGTATTCAACAGCACCTGCTGTCTTCTTGCCGGAAGATGTAGAGTTGTCGAAAACAAGGCGAGTCACATGCGCATTCGCTAGTACATCGTAGTTGCCCCGGTCTGCAAGCGGATCGAGATAACCAGAACGACTGTAGGACCGCGTCCAATTTGAAGGGTTGATGCAGGAGGTTGAGACGTCGGCGCCCAGATTTTCGCCTCCGTACATATTAGCGGAAATATCAATTCCCATAGCCTGTAGTGACGTTAACCAGTCGCCCACTTCGGGGAATGTGCTAGGAATGCGTTAGCCTTATCAGTCAATTATAGACAATAGGGTTTGGCATACTAGTCCGGATATGATGTATGGATCGGCCCGTTGGTGCCGTGATTTGACGCATTCCAGACGATTCCAGCCTCATCAATCACATCATCAACTGGAGGAGTGAAAGTCTCGCTTTTCTTCATGGCAGCGTAGAATGAGTCCCACGACCAGTTATCGGCACCATCCATGTCTCCGAGCATATCTTTCCAGGCATTAATTTCATCCTCACCCGGACGGGTCATATACAGCCCATTGATGGCGGAACTGCCTATATCTGTGTTAATTTTCTATTCCTCGCTTTTTGGAATACGAAGCTAGCACAAACCTCCAAGGACCTTGCCACGAGGCCAATTAATCTCGCGATCGCCTGCATTAGGTTGTGCAACGGTGTAGAAATCCCAATTCAAAGGCGTTGTCCATAATGAGTCGAAATAAGAATATGCCGGTGTATCTGTATTTGTGTCAGAAATGTCGCGGTGACTCCGCGCAATCAAATAATTGAACGCACCTATGCGCTTGCGATAATCATCTCCATCCCCGCCCGACTCAAGAACAAGTACAGTGTGGTTTTTATCCTCCGAAAGACGAGCGCCCAACACGAGCCCGGCTTGACCTCCTCCCACAATCACAAAGTCATAAGCATCGTCGATCTTCGTGCGCGGTGATAAGGCGCTCGCAAATTGGTTCGCGACTAGGCTAGCGCCTATAATCTGGGTAACGGATAGACTAGATCGCATTGTGAGGGTGTGCGACGCAGATTGTCGAGAGGTGGAAGGGTGGATCTCATATACAAAAATCCCATCACGGTAAACAGGCTTAAGCCTGTGGAGTAAGACCTTTGAAAAACCTTGTCAAGAGCTTTAGCGATTCTCAATTTTACGCACGATGATCCAAGATAAGCACATCTTGAAGCCTCAATCGCGTTAGACCAGTGGGTCAGCATTGGGACTTCTGCAAATGAGATATTGGTGCCTCTTGCTCCACATGGTCTTTTCCAATAAATCAACTTTGTTTTAGAACTGGTCATTCTACCCGTCCCTCGTTCCATGTTTCTTATCGCTTGTTCCTGGAAATGTCTAAGACAATCGGATTTTTCTTGCAATTCAACCACGTTTAATCCCGGATCCACATACATTTTCGGTCGTTTCAACCCAAGATCAAT